CCGTTATTTTCCCTCTAAGTTTCTCTGGGCTAGTTGCTTTACACAGTGTTAGATTGAGGTTGGTGAGCCTGGTTTGCATCCTGTGGTTTCATGACATCGGGCAGTTCAGGTGGGCTAGACAAGGGATGAATGTCCAACTGTTACCATTCACCATCTTCTGTCCTAAAAATCAAACCGATAGTAGCAGGCGACTGAGCTCTAGCCACCGAACTGGTATAACCGTACTCAGACAATAGTTTATTTTCATCAGCTATGATAGTGTCATCTTTGTATAACCTCATCTGATCTGGTGGTACTTTAGTTGATACTTTTATCTTAAGGTTTGTTTAACCCTTATTGCGTAATACATCATACATTAAAGTGGTTATTAATTCGTACAAGAAAAACATAAAGTGTAGGTTATTGGATTCTACATAAACTTAATATTTTATGTGACAAAAATAGATCTACCGTTCTTTTTTTATTAACCAGTAAATCATTAAGATAGTTGAATTAAGATTATGGTTGAGAAACGGTACGATGATATCTAATTAGAATATAACAAATAAACAGTTATGTCCCCCTTTTAACCTTTTTTACTCATTTAAACAATACTAAAGAGTGGTCTCCCTTGAGTTGTCTTCGTTGAATACGCTTCAGTACTTCTTTACGCTAGGGCTGATTAAAGAGGTAATCCATTTTTGACGAAAATAATTGACTGTTGTGGACAAATGTGGACCGGAGTCGGGGTAGGGTGGGGGGGGGGGGGTCGATGTGGACATCAAAATACATTTTTTTTTAAAATGTAAGAATTTAATCGGCAGTTCTTGTGTTGAAAAAAACACCAGCTAAATGGCTGAATAAAATATGTATTAGTTAGAGATATACCTGTATACTGCCCGCCAGAGAAAAAAAAATATTTACCAGCGGGAGGGGGGGGGGGGCATTGACCTCGGCAATTTTCTAAAACAATTCACCGACTTTCGAGTTTATCTTTACGCATTTCAAATAATTGAAACATAGTTTAAAAACAATTAGTACTAGACATAGGCCCTGATAGATCTTGCAGCCAAATCATAGTAGGCCTCAGAGGCGTCGCGAGGCGGGGGCGGGGGTAACGGATCGCACCGGATGTCACACAAAAAATTGCAAGATGTATAGAATACATATCTTTTGCCAGTTCAAAGAATGGTTAATTAGAGTTAAAATGTATTTTAAGCACATAATGACAATCACGACAAGGGGGTGGGACACACCATGACGTAAACATGCAAACAATGCTCCACCCACTTGTATTAACAATCGAATATAAACATCATTAGTAAAAAAAATGTGTACACTTTAAAGCTTTTATCGGTGACAATGGGGGGGGGGGTGACACTAACTGTTCAATTTACAAAGAAAAAAAAGGGGGGGTTACACCATTAGGTGCCGCACCGGGTGACACCCGACCTAGCGACGCCAATGGTAGGCCTACATCTTTATTTGTGTCAATGCCTAAGACGATGTATATCCAATCATTTTTTTCAAGCAATAAATTCATCAAAATAACCACGTTAAAAAAAATAATTAAAAACGGCGCATGTAGAATGTTCTCGTGTGGTCAGGTTCAAGAGAAAAAGGGATGAGAAGTGTTTTGTTATGGGAACACGTGTAGTGAGTAGTGAGACATGTCCGTAAGGTTCAGTAAAGGCAACATGACGTCGCCTCCATTTGCCGAATTTTACCCAAGGGGTCGTCCATAAATGATGTCACACTAGAAAGGGGATGGGGAAGGGGGGGGTCCGTAATTATTGACCGTGTGTGATGAGGGCGGGGGGGGGGCTCAGATGATGTGACGTCACGCTTTTGCATTATAAAAAAAACATTGTTACAAAACGTATTTTAGCCGTTATTTCGCGTTTTGTTTTTAAACTGTTTTAATAAATTGTAATATAAATTGGTTATAGTTTTCTATGTTGACAGATTTCAGAATTTTTTTTTAAATATCGATGTTTTAAGAACAATTCAACTGCAATTTGAGGGGGGGGGGGGGTTGTAGGCTGAGGAATGATGTCATTTTAGAGGGGCGGGGGGTCTGGCCTTTTGTGACGATGTGTGACGGAGGGGAGGGCGGGGGGGGGGTAAAAATCGTCTATTTATAGATGACCCCCAACCCATAGAGTCATTAATAGCTAGACAACCACAAATGACATAAAATAGTTCGGTCTACAGCCCCACTAAACCGCCCTCATTAATTAAAAAAAAAGAATTTTATGATGCCTGCAACCTTGGAACTGCCGTTTGGAAAAATAGTGTGTTTAATCGAGAGGTACACAGCGTTCACGCGCGTTCAATCTTTCAATAAAGAACAATTTTAGCGCATTCACACAGTAAATTCACACGTTGTAGACTAACGGACGACCAGGGGCGTAGCGAGGGGGGGGCGGGGGGTGCGGACCGCACCGGGTGACACCATTTAGGGGGGTGACACCAAGGCAAATAATAGCAAAATATAGAGAGAAAAACTTGAGGGGGGGGGTGCAAATCGAAAACTTGAGGGGGGGGTGCAAATCGAAAGTTTGAGGGCGGGGGGGGGGGGTGCAAATCGAAAACTTGAGGGGGGTGCAAATCGAAAGTTTGAGGGGGGGGGGGGGTGGGTGCAAATCGAAAACTTGAAACTTTGTCCCCGGTAAGGGTCGCAACCCCTCTGGGGGGGTGACACCCTTAAGTGCCGCACCGGTTGACACCCGACCTCGCTACGCCACTGCGGACGACAGCGTGGACAAGTTTTATTTCTCAATTTAAATTCGAAACTATTTCCAGACTTTTAAAAAGTCAGCCCAAAAACTAATGGCTTTCCAGTCGTTTAAAGCAGGGGTCTCCAAACTACGGCCCGCGGGCCGGATGCGGCCCGCGAGGTCCTCTCATCCGGCCCGCGAAGATCTTTTTGTCCACTGAAAAAAACGTTTGGTGAAGTTGGCTGAGGAACTTGCTCAGATAGTCACGACATGCCTGGAAGAAACTGGCCCCCGAACTGAAATTTGATAGTTAATGTGGCCCTCGGACTAAAAAGTTTGGAGACCCCTGGTTTAAAGTATGGATTTTTCACCCACTCTTACTGGGTTCTACTTTAAATATTTGGACTTAGTTAACATGTTACCGAAAATATCAATTCCCTAAATTGAATTAGCAATTAACAGCATGGGCGAATTTCAAGCTAAAGGACTAACGTTATAGTATTTTCTGTGACCGTGTCTATGACTACGCCTATGACGAAGTCTAATTAAGTGTAGGTGTGTGTTTATGAGTTTTGTTTCCCTTTCAAACCTGACGGTAGTGAAGTAGAGTTCACTTGTTTCCGTGACCTCGGCATATATGCCCAGCCGCCTTTACTTGAGTGAGTTAGGTACCCATCAGAGTTGAATGAACTCAGGGACAGTCTACTGACTTCGACCGGATTCGAACTCGAGTCTTTCGAATTAGAAGTCCAGATCTCTACCGCTAGACCACTCCGTCCCACATGAGTTTTGATATTGTTGGTATTCATATAGCTCTTACTGCATTTTCCTACCTATTCACCAACCCGGGCTTTTTTGTTTAATTTAATGAATCAATTTTTTTAATGATAGGCTAAAAGATCTTACAGTTAGGAAAATCTTAATTCCCCAAGGATTGATCAGTCGAACTATGGTAGAGACGCCTAGCGAAAAAAAAAACAACCTACAACACAACAAAGCCCCCCCCCCCCTCCCCCTGACCCCTCTCACCCTCCTACCCTAACCCTTCCCACTCATCCAACTACCTACATGTTTCAATAATATATTTCTAAAAAAAAACAAGTCCAGTTGTAACAGTTACAGGACACCCTAAAATACAGAAACAGACTCGTCCTTGACACTTTGACCTATTTGCATATCGTTGCTGTCGACTTTGGCCTAAATGTGTGTGTGCACTTTAAATTAAATTCATTTTTACTCAGTTGGCTGGGCTTGGTGTTTCATTACTGTCTGGGTATCGGGAGCGAGTGCACATGTAGCAACAACTGCAAGTAGGTCCTGTTTAGTTTTACTTACATTGGAATTTTCTTAGCCTTCATATTTTTGGTATAACGTTATTTAAACTGTTTAACGGGATAATTCCTAAAACTCTTTGGTACAATTTATATATATATATATATATATATATATATATATATATATATATATATATATATATATAGTTTGGATACATACATTATGATATATACTATTATTATTTACATTTCAGTTGCATAATTTTTGTTGTTCAAGGGCGTACGTTGTAAATTCCATGTTCATATGATTTAAAACTATATTACATATAACATATGAAAGTTATGTTATTTATAGCAGTTGTTTTTATAACAGATATTGTAGATGTTAGCTTGAAGTGACATGAGCCTTGCAATGAAATCGAGGCCCAAAATATCGTTTTAAATTCGGTACATGTATTGTCATATTGATGTGCGATCTCCGAGCCTTTGATTTTCCTGAAGCTGCAATGGAATATGGTGCCCTTTTTACACTAGTTTGAGAAACGGAGCTGTAGACAGATGTAAGTGTGGATTATATCAACCAGGCAACATATGGTGTTACCTGTCTGACTAAAGTGTAGACAGCGTAGTACACGCTGTACGGTTGGACTGCATTCTCGCCTGGCCCAGTTTATGGACTATTGATCTAGTGCGCTATATTTACGGGACACGGAGCTAATCAATTTCACTTGCAAATCTATTACATCTCGACATACAGTCTCACAGTTAACTGTGCGGATACACAAACAAGTACGAAAATACATAAATACGGCGCATATATATATATATATATATATATATATATATATATATATATATATATATATATATATATATATATATATATATATATATATATATATATATATATATATGTATAGTATTTGTAATATATAGTAATATTATTATTTAGCTTACCAGCCCGCATAAAGTATTATATCATTATTATTTTAATTACTTGTTTTTTTTATCTTATTTCAGAAACAATATGCTAGAAGAACTACTTTCCACACTGCCCTCATGGGCGTGGCTTGTGGTTGTCCTCATATCTCTAGTGTGGTGGTACAACCACAAGCCAGCACCACCAAACTACCCGCCTTCTCCTGGTCTGTCCCTGCCTCTGATTGGTCATCTCTATTTGATGGAGAAAGATCCAAGAAAAAACTTCAGACAATGGGCACGGACATTAGGAGGGGCTTTCAGCTTAAAGATGGGGACAGCACCGTTTGTAGTGTTGAACAAATATGAGCTGATCCATGGGGCGCTTGTTAAACAGGGAGATAACTTTTCTAACAGATCGAGCACAGATATTTTCGCTAAACAGTTTCAAAAGCGTCAAAATGGGATTATTCTTTCATCTGGCCCTTTATGGAAAGAAATTAGATCTACGTCGATGACAATTTTAAGAGATTTAGGCATGGGTAAAAATATCCTGGCGGAAAAAATATCCGAGGTGGTTGAAGTTTACCTGCAGGAGTTATCTCACCTGGACGGTAGAGCAACAAATGTCAGGAATTTAACCAACGCTTGCGTCGCTAACGTCATCTGTTCAATTATCTTCGGGAAAATGTTTGAGTTGACGGATCCAACCTTCACTAAACTTTTAACCCTCAACCAAAAACTAGCGTTAGTGTTTTCGCCTACCTCGGTTTTTAACTTTTTTCCTTATTTGAGGCTCGTTCCTTTTGACCCATTCAACTTAAAGCAGATGATCGCCATCACAGATGAGATCAGAAACTACACAAAAGATCTAGTCACAGCAAAGATTCGCCAGTCTGACTCTACCAGTGCTGATTGTTTCATCTCGGCCTTTCTCGCTGCAGTCCGCGTTAAGAATCATCATGGTCAGCCCACACTACTGGACGAAGAAAAACTCAGCGTCGCCGTTGAAGATTTGTTTGCGGCTGGATCTGAGACTACCAGTACAACACTGATGTGGGCCATGCTGTACGCTTTACATTACCCAGAAACACAGGAGAAAATCTATCAAGAAATTGTTGACAATGTTGGAACTAATCGATCACCTACAATTTATGACAAGGCAAAACTAAATTATTTAAACGCGTTCATCATGGAAACCCAAAGGGTGTCGACTATATTACCACTAGCTCTGATTCACGAGTGTTCACAAGACACGACCGTTGGCGGTTACACCATCCCTAAATGGACACAAGTCCTGCCCAACTTGGATTTTGTACACAACGACCAGCAAGTCTGGGGAGACCCGGGGAACTTTAGACCCGAGAGATTTCTTGATGACCACGGTGACGTCATCGCGCGCGAGGAGCTGATACCCTTCTCAGTTGGTCGACGGTTATGTCTGGGTGATTCCTTGGCTAAGATGGAGTTGTTTCTCTTCCTAGCTGGTTTATTTCAAAGGTAGGCAAAATCGTTTTTAAATATTTACTATTTTCTCGAATATCATACACAAATTAAAACGATGTTTTTTTTATTTTCGTATCACACCATTGACCCTAGAGTTAGCACACGGGGCGGGTGCCCCACCCGCCCTTACCTAGGTTCGCCTCTGGCTAGATTTACCGAGTTGTTTCGCTAATGAGAACTCTTTGTGTGGACATGTTTCAAGTCCTCCTAGGGCAACACGAGCAGAATGACATGAAAGTCTTCTATGTCAACATTCATGTCTTAAAGTATTGCTTTTGGCTTTAAAATTAAGATAACATAAGTAAAACTACTAAAACATTGCTTTGTAGTTGACTTGAAGCGTGTTGTTTAATTATTATTTCTATGTACTGTTTTGTTTCTAACTGAACTCAATTCATTAAACTTCAAGTTGTTGTTTTTTTCTCAATAGATGAAACACAATCACTTATTGTGTGGTTTTACAAATGTCATGTCTCCTGCTCCCCAGGTTCCACCTGCTCCCAACTGACCCAGCCACCTTACCACCACTGACAGGTGTCGTTAGTGTAGTTGTAGCCCCGGAGGCTTTTGACATCAGGATGGTGGAGAGAGACAACTGATGTCAACAGGTTTATGTCAAATGTGATTGGTGTGATGTAGTTATGTTGATGTCGCCAGGTTGACGTCAAAGTGTATTATATATATATATATATATATATATATATATATATATATATATATATATATATATATATATATATATATATATATATATATATATGCTCTTGATGGCAATGGAAAGCCTTCTATTAATATTCTGAGGCGAGCGTAGGCTCAATTCAACTAATGATAAATAATGTTTGTGTTTATGAATTTACTTTTTTTTAAATTTAAAATCAAGCAGATTTTGTTTTATTTGTATATACATTGTAATTTCTTTATTTTTTACACAGAATATTAATAAACCGTGAAGCTAAATCTCAGACCTCACAATTTATTAGTGGCCCATGTTAGCCGGCTAACTCACACACAAACGTATATTTTCAAGAAGAAGAATATACAAAATATGACAATTGATTTGAAGCTCAAAACCTAACATTTTGTTCATGGTATTGTTTTCAGTTGTTTGCTACCTTGCAAATAATGTTGTGTATTGTTTTTATTATTGATATGCACACATTTTTCATTCCATTTATCTAAAACCATTGAATTTTATCTTTTTATACAATATATTAAAATTTAAAGTTACATTTAAATAAAATGTGTACAAACAAGACGTAATAAGTTTGAAGTCAATTTCTAATCTTACTTGTTTATTATTATAAAACTTAAGACATATCTTCTTTTATTTTTAAAATACTATACTGTATCTAAATCATATCTGCAATGGCTGATAAAATCAAAAGAATATCCGCAATGTTTTTCTAAAATTTAAAACGTAAATGCGACAATAACGCAGATTATATTTTTACTATTTTGTACAAAACTTAGATGTATTATAATAATCTAAGATGGAAAATTATTATACTCAGATTTTTTTAGTTATGATATTTATTATTAATACATTGCACATTATAAAATTGTATTGCAAAACAATGAAGGTAAACCGTTTGCTGTCGTAAAAAAAAATCAACCTACATACATTTAGATCTAACAATACTAATTTAGTGTAATAAATCAGAAACTATTAAATTTGAATATTAGTTACTCTAAAAATCCACTTAAAAAATACAACAAGATTTTAAAGTTACGTTTTCTTTATGATTTTTATTTTAAATTTAGCATTAGATAAAATGGGATTGTTGTGTTATGAGGCAAATGGTTCCCAGTGTTGTTGTACCACGATAAAAAATGTATTGATCTCAACATAAGCGAAAATTGTAATTGAAGCAGTATAATTCTGGCAAATGTTTTTGTTTGCATAATGTGAAGACCAAGTCCTATTATTTACTCATCACAGCAACATGTATACTTTGAAGTTAAAAAAATAATTTTACTAAGATAATTTTTTCGAAAAATTGGAAGCCATAACAACAGACAAGTTCCCTATTCAGCAGAAGTTAAGTAATTTAAACAATGAAGCTAAGCATTTTATTGATCATGAATCATTAAACAATATAATAAATAATATAATAATAATAATAATAAAAATAATAATTAATAAATTTAATAAATAGTAACTTAGAAAAACTGCGCAGTTTAAAATTAAAAGTATAAAATTATTAATAAAAAAAATAATTTTCGAATCAATCGCAAATGTATTTTAAGGATAGCTAAAAGATACCTCATGCAATGTTAAATGAAAGTGCAAATCTTATAGCCTACCTAGTTGGAAATGTTAAAAATCTTGAACGCATTATCACCAATTTACATTTATTCAACTACCCCCAATCATCATATATTAGAAAACATATTAGAAAACTCATATTGGAGTCTCTATATGTTAGAGAAAATTTGAAAAAAAAAAACAAATTACACGTGACAATATGAAAGCAGATGTCTGTAAAATATAAGACAAAACAAAGACACAACAACAGCAATCTTGTATGATTTTGTAAAAATGCTATGCAAGACGTATAGTTCGATCTAAAAAAAATAGACAATTAATTAATTTCAAAATGGCCCATTATTATTAAATGTGTAATGTAGTGTTGAAGACACTGATCTATTTATTGACAAACATGGACGTTTTAATTTAGTCAGATAAAAGTTTTTCCTTCTGAAATATTTCATTGTGTTTTTTATTTAAAATTATTACAGAAGCTTGTGAAATATTTGTATATTACTCTCATATCAGGAGTCGAAATTTCCCATAACGACCCTATATTTATTTAAATAATTTTAATTTTAACTAGGTTTTTAACAAGATATTTTTTTATAGAGATTTGAAAATGCATAACGTCATGGCTTTCAGACAACAACACCAAGAAACAGAAACATCATAATCGTCATATATGACATTTTAACTATGCTAATAAAACCTTGTGTTTATAGAAATAAGAAAGGAAAAACATCATAAACAATGTTGAGACATCTGGACGCTGATTTAAGATTGTCAAGGAATCGAAAATACAATCTTAAGTAGTTGTTGTTGCCTTATGAAACGGAAAACACAAATTTAACTTTTACAAGTGACAAAGAATACATCAATGAATAAGTGTATCAAATTTGTTTTACTGTAGTGGTAGTTGTAGATGGTTGAAGGTGTCTCCAAATTTGTGACATCAGTTGTTTCTCTCCACCATCCTGATGTCAAAAGGCAGTGGTGTTACAGCAACACCAAAGACACCATTCAGTGGTGGTAGGTTGGATGGGTCAGCTGGGAGCAGGCGGAACCTGGGGAGAATGTGACGCAAATTTAAATATACGAAAACAAAAACTTCACTGACCGATTCACCAATAAATTGTCTAAATAAAAATACCCATTATTCGAGTTTTACAACAGTATACAATGAATATATTATACTTTTACACCCAAAAAAAAAATATTTGTGTCTACTATCACCGTAAAAAAAATAGAAAGATTAAATGTATCTGAGATCTAATTTTAAAAATTAGCGTCTTAATAAGTTTTATTTTAACTTCGAAAATTAAATGTAATTGGAAAATTCATACCGTAAAGACAACCATTCACAATGCAGATTTGCGAAACACAAATTGTATCTTTAACTATAAACTAACCTAGTGTGATGACGCAAGATTACGTCAGACATGTTTAGCAGATATAGGTTAGCAGAAACAGACTATAGGCCTAGTTGGTTGGGTAGAGAGGCCAATGGGCGCACAGGGCTGACCGGTCACGTGGGACGGTCAGCTGACCACTGAGGCGTGGGGCAGTAGAGCGATAGGCCAGGAGTTGTTAGGTAGCGGCAGAGACGGCCGAGAATGTAGATAGTTAGGAGATCATGATTGGATAGCGAGGAGAGAAGGTGTTAGGTAGTGGTTAGAGACGGTTGTAATTTGCAGAGCTAGAGAACAGTTAGATAGTGTTAGGAGTGGTCACGGGAGTGCGTAGTAGTAGGTAGCATGTGGTATGAACAGTCAGTAGTAGAAGTAAATAGTACAGTGTAGATCAGTTAGGTAGAAACTTGAACATATATATCATTTTAATAAAGAACAATTATAGTTGAACTTGAACTGTGTGTTGTTGGATTCATTCGTTCCGCTACGCCTCATAAAACCCCCACCCTCACAACTGGTGGAGCGCGGGTCGAGGACAGGAAAGACAGTATATTGGTTACTCATGACGGAGTGTACTGGTGTACAGCTTTCTTAACTCAACACAACAGAGGGTTTCTTCAACCGGAACGAGTTTGGATTACCAACACAAGGGAACAGTCTACATATTAAAAAAGATAAGTACCTTCCAACAATTTTTTTAAACGTTTGGGTTTAGACTCGTGCTGGATATTTTGTACCAGCGGGGTTCCTGTCTGTTGTTTCTTCGTTACACTTACACCCTGTTGCCTTAGTTGTTTTTTTTAACTTCCTCAACACTACACACAAATACACCATGGAAGCAGAATTAGAATTATATAAACAGGGTATGGCAATGAACAAAACGGGCGAAGAGCTAGACGCATGGGTAGATGGTAGGTTAGAACAACGGCTAGAAAGAGAGGCTAGAGTAAAAGCAAAAGCGGCAAAAACATCAGCAGAGGCAGACTTGGAAAGCAAAAAATTGGAAGCAGAAACAGCTAGGCTTAAAATAGAATCGGACAAAGCAATAGAACTAGAAAAACTGAGAATACAGCATGAATCAATAACAAACAACCAAAACAACACTATTCCTGCTCCAGTAAAACAAGAACAAACCAACACCCATAAGAGCATGCTTTTCAAACTGCCAAAATTTCAAGATGATAGAGATAGCATAGACGCATACATTCGCAGGTTTGAAACTATAGCAAAAGCAGAAAACACACCAGAACACCTCATGAGCACACACTTACTCACCCAATTAGGAGGTAAAGGATTAGACGCTTGCCACACGCTCACCGAAGACGAAATAAAAGACTACAAAACACTCAAGCAAACACTCCTGGAATTCTATAATTTAACAGAAGAAAACTACAGAAATAAATTTCACAAATTACAGCCAAACAAAGAGGAAGACTTCAGAGTTTTTTCAAACGAAATTAAGCTTACATTAGACAAATGGATAGAATCATCAGGCATCAACAAAACTTACGAAGACCTCCTACAATTCATACTTGTAGACAAAGTACTAAACAGTGTACACGCAGATCTATTTGCATTCCTACAGGAAAGGAAACCCAGAGACATGAAAACAATGACTGATCTATCCCAAAAATACATTGCTGCCCACCCCACAAAACCAATTAGCAAACGAATCGAATCAGAAATAGTACCAGTCTACGTAGCCAACATAAACGATGGGGTCAGAAGCCGTAACCGCAGTGCTAACAACAATCGCCCACACTCAAGTAGACCAGAGCAACGCCCACTGCCAAGAAATAACCTTTACCAGACACCAAACAGAGAACCTCGATGTTATAGATGCAATCAAGTTGGTCATATGGAAAGAAACTGCACACAAAACACGAACTACAGGACCAACAACGCCAACTACACATACAACGGACCTAGGAACAACAGATATAACACACATGCAGCATTTATAGCCTCCCAAACGAAAAACAATAGACTCAATACATTCCAGGCAAGAATTAACAACACACCAGCGTACGCAATGAGAGATACAGGTTGTTCGACCGTTGCAGTACGCAACACATTCGTACAACAGCATCAATACACAGGCAGATCACAAAGAATACAAAGTTTTGGAGGTGCGATACACACATGGCCTACAGCTATTGTTACTATAGAAACACCAACAGCATACAAAACAGTTGAAGCTGTGGTATTCAAACATGGCCCTTACGACATGATTCTGGGCAACATACGAGGTGTAAAAAGATTCCAGGTAGAACACAACACACATAGACACGCGCCAACCCCATGTCAACAATGCCCTGCAATAGAAAGCTACAATTCTCTCAAGTTAGTATGTACAACACAACAGCAAACGATTGCCAGATTACAAAATGATATCACACAACTCATAGAACAGCTACAATGTAACCATCTACCCCATCGGTCTTAGCACATTAACCCCATGACCAAGCATTTGACCCGGAACGCCCCCACGAATGTTTTTGAACAACGGACTAAAGTCAAGTCGAGTTTTTTTTTTCTGTTAATCTAAGTCGCCGAGAAATCGGCGTGAAGTCAAAGAAGTTATTCGAAGCCAGTCAAGGCAGTCGATAAGTTGTTGAAGTCGTAGTTGAGTTCTTAGTGACGTAGTTGAAGTCATGTTGCAGTCAAAGAAAAGTCTTTGAAGTTATATTAAAGTCGTTGAGGCCATAGTGAAGAAGGGAAATCGTCGAAGTCAAGGAAAGACGTTTAAGCCGTCGAAGTCAAAGTGAAGACGTTATTTAAAGACGTCGAAGTCAAAGGGAAGTCTTTGAAGTCATATTGAAGTAGTCGAAGTCAAAGTGAAGTCTTTTAAAGTCATATTGAAGTCGTTGAAGTCAAGGAAAAGTCTTTGAAGTCAAAGTAAAGACGTTTAAGTCGTCGAAGTTTAGTCAGTCAGTGAAGTCTAATAAGTTAAAGAGAAGTCGAAGCCAGTCAGAGGTCTATGAAGTCAGTCGATTTAGTTGTCGCAGTGAAGTTAGTCTTCAAAGTGAAGTTAGTCGTCAAGTTGAAGTAATTGAAGTCGTCAAAGTGGAATCAGTTGTTTAATTGAAGTCAGTCGAGTTACTGAAGCCAAAGTTGAATAAGTCAAGTTACTGAAGTCATAAGTGAAGTCAGTCATTAAGTCAAGCCAGCCAGTTTTTTGTCAGAAGTCAGATAGTGAGAGCTGCTCCACTATATGATTACGTATTCAAATGTTGATTTGAAACGGCACGATTACTTATATACACTTACATGTCTACTCTTTTTGTGAAGCTATTTCTAAGCTCTAGTAATGTTTACGTCTATTGAGTTTATTAGGCTTTACAGATTGTTGTTAGAGTGTACTGATTTTTTATTTGGTTAATTTTGTAATGTTATATTTGTATGCTGTATGTACCGCCAGACAAATGTTCAGCACGTTTAAATTTGGGATTGAGGTTTTTTAAATGGAAGGTACCTCTGTCTGAATACATGTCTGCGCGGGCACTAAAATGTTCACGTAAAGCCATTGCTCATTGTCTCGTAATACAATTTTCAGACCCACTACGCTTATTCAGAATGAGACGAGATGAAGCAGACACTTCAAAGAATGCCGCCACCTGAAGCCCTGATTACGTTGAATTACCTGGACAGCGAACAGCCCTGCTTAACAGAGAATTGCCCTGGTCAAGACAGCGGACGCATCGCCACCGCTTCGCACCCGCACTGGGGTTGAATAACAGACCGCCAGCTACGTACACCTACGTCGGCACATACAAAGGGTAGAAGACCCATCGTCCAAGTTCCCAGCGTCGGAATGTTACGTCATTGTTCGCCACGCACCAGACAGCTCCAGTTCATCGTCTAACCACTCTACGTGGACGTCTCAACCAGCGTTGAGTTTGTTGCGTCATCACATTGACCAACGAAAGTTATGCATACACCCGCCTCACGGGAATTTACATCAAAACTCGCCACAACCCACCCACCACAGAGGAACGCCAGCAATTACATAACACTTACACATACACTTACACTGCTCGCAGAGCCCGTTCAACCAGTTACACATTCCACTAAGATTAGCTCAAGGCCAGTACACGACAACCTAGCCAGAACTGAGTTACATATGATTGGATTCACACATCCCATAACGCTACAGACGTCAGGATACCTACACAAGAACGAAAACAATGACATTTTTTTCTCAGGAACACAGACACAAGATTTTATGTTTTTGTAAACTGTGCTGTCCCATTTTTTATTTGATTTATATGATTGATGTTAGGGATAGAATAGAGTAGTAAGATAGATAGTTGTTGATGTATTAGATAAGTAGCAGACGCTGAAAAATATAATTTGTCAGCTACAGAAAGGGAGGGAGATATGTGATGACGCAAGATTACGTCAGACATGTTTAGCAGATATAGGTTAGCAGAAACAGACTATAGGCCTAGTTGGTTGGGTAGAGAGGCCAATGGGCGCACAGGGCTGACCGGTCACGTGGGACGGTCAGCTGACCACTGAGGCGTGGGGCAGTAGAGCGATAGGCCAGGAGTTGTTAGGTAGCGGCAGAGACGGCCGAGAATGTAGATAGTTAGGAGATCATGATTGGATAGCGAGGAGAGAAGGTGTTAGGTAGTGGTTAGAGACGGTTGTAATTTGCAGAGCTAGAGAACAGTTAGATAGTGTTAGGAGTGGTCACGGGAGTGCGTAGTAGTAGGTAGCATGTGGTATGAACAGTCAGTAGTAGAAGTAAATAGTACAGTGTAGATCAGTTAGGTAGAAACTTGAACATATATATCATTTTAATAAAGAACAATTATAGTTGAACTTGAACTGTGTGTCGTTGGATTCATTCGTTCCGCTACGCCTCATAAAACCCCCACCCTCACACCTAGCTAAATATAAAACGATTCAATAACAAAAACTGGATTGAATGAAAAACTTTATATTAAAAAATGAAGAGCTACCTTTGAAACAAAGCAGACAGAAAGAGAAACAACTCCATTTTAGCCAGCGACTCTCCCAAACAAACCCTACGACCAAGCGAAAAGGGTATCAGTTCTTCACGGGAGATGACGTCAGCGTGGTCATCAAGAAATCTCTCGGGTCTAAAGTTCCCCGGGTCTCCCCAGACTTGCTGGTCGTTGTGTACAAAATCCAAGTTGGGCAGGACTTGTGTCCCTTTAGGGATGGTGTAACCGCCAACGGTCGTGTCTTGTGAACATTCGTGGCTTAAGGAATATGGCACAATCGTCGTCACTCTTTGGACTTCCATGATGAACGCGTTTAAATAATTTAGCTTTGCCTTGTCATAAATTGTAGGTGATCGATTAGTTCCAACACTGTCAACTATTTCCTGATATATTTTCTCCTGTGTTTCTGGGTAATGTAAAGCGTACAGCATGGCCCACATCAGTGTTGTACTGGTAGTCTCAGTCCCAGCTGCAAACAAATCTTCTACTACGACACCAAGTTTTTCTTCGTCAACTCGTGAATTTTGAACTCCATTCCGTTTAATTTCATTCAGAAATAAATTGAGAAAATTTTCAACGTTTTGTGAATCAACACATTTAGTCGAGAGCATTTGTGTGTGAAATTTGATATCTTCCAGCAAGTTTGACAAATGTTTTGCACCAAACGGATCACCAGGAATATTCTTTAATACAGGGAAAAAGTGTAGAACAGAAATCGATGAGAATGCTGCAGCTAATTCTTGGAAAAGTTGTATTTGTTTTGTGAATAACGGATCAGTTAACTCAAACATTTTCCCGAAGATAATTGAACAGATGACGTTAGCAACGCAAGCGTTGGTTAAATTCCTGACATTTGTTGCTCTACCGTCCAGGTGAGATAACTCCTGGAGGTAAACTTCAACCACCTCGGATATTTTCTCCGCCAGGATATTTTTACCCATCCCTAAATCTCTTAAAATTGTCATCGACGTAGATCTAATTTCTTTCCATAAAGGGCCAGATGACAGCAAGACGCCGTTCAAACGCCTTGGCATTTGTGTGGCGAAGAAATCTATGGATGATCTGTTAGAAAAGTTATCTCCCTGTTTAACAAAAGCCTCATGGATCAGCTCGTATTTGTTCAACACTACAAACGGTGCTGTCCCCATCTTTAAGCTGAAAGCCCCTCCTAATGTCCGTGCCCATTGTCTGAAGTTTTTTCTTGGATCTTTCTTCATCAAATAGAGATGACCAATCAGAGGCAGGGACAGACCAGGAGAAGGCGGGTAGTTTGGTGGTGCTGGCTTGTGGTTGTACCACCACACCAGAGATATGAGGACAACCACAAGCCACGCCCATGTGGGTAGTGTGGAGAGTAGATCTTCTAACATAGTGATTCTGTAGAATAGTAAACACAATTTTCAGTGGTGTAACCTTTCAATGACTATTTCAGTGTGCTTACAATTTTAAGATAGCATTAGCCTTGACTGTATTAATTGCTTTAATACATTCATCGATAATACAATAAAAGCGATATATAGGTAACGTAAAGATGTATGTTTTAATATAGGACCCTTGAATAATCATTATTTCCTTGTACAGTATCATCGATTAAATTTTTAGTATTTAAGTGTTTAAAAAGAATAAACCTGATAAAATTGTTTTTAATTACAACAAACGTATCGTAAAATCTAGTGTATTGAAAGATTTATTTTATATGATAAAAACCCGAAGAAATGAATAGGTTCATTGATAGCAGAAGGGGTTGGCCTAAGGAATGTTTTATAGAAGATAAAAAAATCAAAATAATTCTTATCGTTAGAAAATACAAAGTACCTCAACTTATATCTACCGTAACACATTTTAAAGGCAAACAAAACTTACAAAACTCTAAAAGTATTCGATGCTTAACTGGCTTAATAAACACTTCAATATAACATCACAGTCGAATCTTACCCTCTTTGACAGTGTGCAAATGTTTAGTTAGTTTCGTTAAAGTTCCTGTCGTGATAACACATGAACTATTTACTCCATGTTATGTTTCTCCTTGTGTAAAACACAAGCTTGAACTGCATGAGAATAGAAGTTCAGAGCTAGCCTACATTGCGGCACAACTAGGTCAGAGACTATGAATCACGTAATCTCTTGGGCGAGTCTATGTGGTAAGCGCTTTAGGTATGTATTTCTAAAGCAGGAAAGTTTCGTTGGCACATTTACTCATTAAATAGAATGCGCTCTTATTTTCCAACATTATTCTTAACAAGTCCGAAGTTTTTATATAAGCTATTGGTAAGAAGTATTTCTTATTTTCTAGGGTTATGATTTATGCTCTTCATCAAAAATTCAAAAGTTCAGCTTGGGGGCTTAAATCTTATCTTAATAAATTGGTACGGTCTACGACAGTAAGTAGACTGGGTTAGGCAAACGTGTGTGTGTGTGTCTATGTGTCTGTGTGTGTGTGCCTGTCTGTTTGTGTGAATGTATGTGTTTGTGTGTCTCTCTCTCTCCCTCTGTGTTTGTGTGTGTGTGTGTGTAAGTAGCAATCTACAAATTGAAATGGGGTCGATCGGATTATGTTGTTTTAAATCTATTAGCTTAATGTGTGATAATTACTCTTTTAAACATGGCGGTCCATGGGGCAGATGAAGTAGAGTTCACCTGCTTCTGTGACATCGGCATGAAAAGGGATAGTGTGGTTCCCATTCTACACATTGAGAGACAGCGTGGTCAAATGGTAGAGCTGTCGGCTACTCACCAGAAAGTCTGGAGTTCGGATCTCGGTCTGGATTCGGGACTGTAGGACGTCCATGAGTCTCTGACTCAGGTTGGGGAAAGCAAAAGCGGCTGGGTTTATCTCACCATACCTACATATGACCACACCATACCTACATATGCCGAGGTCAAGAAACATGAGCAATACATCATCCCTGTAAAAGGAAGCTTCATAACTGGTTGACTATAAATATATGCAGTCCTTCCCTGTGTATATTCGTAAAGTTAAACCATCAAATCTTTAAACAAAACATAACGATCCGATTTGTGAAAATACTTCAGTCTACATTGCATTAAAGTACAGTGTTTGATATCGGTTTTATGTTTTTAAAGTACTTGTTATGTTGGCGGCCTTGAGATTAGAACATGATAAAAATATGTTAAAAACATATCTAGTGTTTAAACCCTATACTTTATTTAAATCTATATCATGTTAGATTGTACCCCAGTAAGTAATACGTTAATAGTAATAATTACTATTATAATTCATGTACAATTTTTTTTTTGTTAGATTATTTTTTTAAATTCATGTATTTATATATATATATATATATATATATATATATAAATTTAATAGAGAAAATAAAATGGCATAAGAACTAGACTAAAAAAATGTATGTAAACTCGGGTTCTTTTGACTGCTTAGTTTACTGTGCTCCATCCTAAGCTGCGAAGTCAAAGGTTTATATTGTAGCCACCCATGGACAGAAATAGAAACGACCGTGGGAGAAGGGTCTCTGTAATTCTCATACATATCTATCATTCCAAAATTTTCCACGACACAATATTATAAAGACTAGAATCTAGATCTTTTTTTTAAACCTTTCGTTTTTTTTTTTTTGATGTTCGCAATCATGTATGGAATTTGATGTTGATGTTAAGTTTCGCTTTTAAACCTAACGGTCTATGGGGCAAGTGAAGTAGAGTTCACTTGATTCTGTGACCTGTCAGCACTATGGTCAGCCGACTTTACTTTCCCTAACGTGAGTTAGGTACCCATTAGAGTTGGGTGGACTCAGGGACGGTCTACTGACTTGAACCCGGATTCGAACCCGAGACTTTCGGGTTTGCATGCCAGCACAAAAGACTATATTTTTTTATTTATTTTTTAGGTTTTTTAAAGTTTATTTTTCTCACAAGTATACCAATTTCAAAATTCAACACAAAGCTCATCTCTTTCACACTCAATAATACATTAGGGATGTAGCCAATGCTCAGAGGAATTTAAATTATTTTAATAAAAATAATTACAATACAACCAGGGCACGAGTATCATTTTGCTCAACCTAATTTGAAATGAACTTTTTAAAAAAGTATGAACTTTTTAGTCTACTTTACAAAATTTAATTATACCGCACTATCTCTTAGCTACTCATAACTATAAAGAGTATCATCAGATGGGTCACACTTTTCAGCTGTACTATAATTAAATCATCAGGCAGCACAGATGTTAATGGAACATGAATGTTTGTTATTCTATACATGACAAACATATAATACACAAGACAAAGAGATGACCCAACCAAACATGGAAACTAAATATACAATCAAAAATATTTTCATAGCAAACTGTGAGTTCAAAAGTAAAACTTTAACTAAAAGACAGAATATATATAGAGAAAACAATGCATTAATGGTTGCTTCAAAAAAATAAATAAGCCTTCATTATATAATAGCAAATGTACATTTTTAAATGATTTAGGGGTTGTAAATTGTTTACCTAGTAAAGTAAGCCCTGCAGTCTTAAGTGGCTAGTTAAAGGCATAAATATTTAATCAATTCTAATGTATGTTTCTAGAACATTAAAATTTGTTTTAGGTACACAAATCCTACATTTTAAACAAATTGCACAGTCATAACCTGTTTCCTAGTAAACCAGAAGAAAAATTGAGGTACTTAGAACTAAGGCTGATATCATAGGCACAAATAAAAAGATAGCAAATAAATGGTCAAACAGCTAATATTGAAGACTAACTTTTTTTAAAATTTCTCAAACTTTTTGTTTAAAGGTAAGTTAGTTACTGCCTAAAATTATTAAATAAACCCAAAACTTGAGTTTTAAGATTAACAAAAAATGAAATGTAAAAATTGATAGTAAAAAAAGATAGTGTTTTAAAAAACTAGTGCACAGTTAAATTTTATATTTTTCAAGAATGTAAAGCAGGATGAGCTCTAACTGAAATACTTAACACACCTGTTTAAAAAAAATGAATTTTTTTTAAGATTATTTTGAACAAACTGAAGAAAAATGAATTTAAAAAGTCAAACTGTCTGCCTTCTACTTTCTTTACAAAAAGATTATCACATAGGTGTGTTTAAAAAAAAATAAAAGTAGCATGATTTACTGAAAAAGAAACTGAAATTTTGAATCAATTTCTTGTCATCACTGGGCGATCCTTTCTTCAACCGGAAATTAACGCAAAGACAGAATGTAGTCTTGTTTTATAAATGACTAGCCGTCCCGGCCAGGCGCTGCTCTGGCTTCTGTGAAAAAACTTTCTGTTAAAGACCATTACCTGTGTGTTTAGTAATCATCATAAACCTGGCACTGCCCACCCAAACCACAACCAACCAAAACCAAAACAACAAAACGCAAACATAACCTTAACACAATTACAAATACAAACGAAAACAAAAACCTAACAACAAACCCAACCACAAACACCAATACAAACACAAAGAAAAAACAAACGAAAAAGCAAACGAAAACAAACCAAATCCAAACGCAAAACAACCACAAACACAAACACAAACCCAAAGAAAAAAACACAAACCAAAAAGCAAACGAAAACAAACCAAATCCAAACGCAAAACCAACCACAAAAACAAATACAAACACAAACCTAAGAAAAAACACAAACGAAAAACGAAAAAAAGAACGAACAAAAACAAACCAAATCAAAACGCAACCACTAACGCAAACCCTAGCTAAACACAAAGAAAACACAAACGCGAACATAAACGCAAAGTGCTCACAGTCTAGCCCGGGGCAGAATCGCCTGTTTCAGCTTAACAAACGACTATAGTACCCCAACTTATTCATAGTCTTTTGCACTCACTTAAACGAACGTAGGTGCCAAACCAAACCAAATGAACAATTATAATACTCCAAGCTTATCCGTAAAATACCTACAACATTTGCACTTGATCAATCCCCGCTAATTATGTCATATTTTTTTTCCCAACACCAAAACAAAGTAATAAAAAGTAAATTCTTTTCCACTAATACAATGGTTTTATAAAGGGAAGTAATTGTGTTTTCCTAATTTATCAAAGGGAAGTAAGTTCTATAGGACTAAATAGAGACATAATTAAAATTTTTGTAAAAGATGATATTTTTTTTAAACTTGTGTTTAATGAACATGCCGAAAATTATTACTTTCAGTTTGATAAATGAAAATTATTTCCCAAAACTTTCAATATTAATGTTTTAACTCATAAATTTAGACCATAAGGACTTTAACTATCTAACACTTAAATCCATCGAAGATCCACTACAAACATATGTGTTACATACAGAATTGAGCTTTATATATTAGATTCTAAATTATAAAAGTGACTCAGTTGGTGGTAGAGGGGCTAACATCACATAGCCGCGTGCAGTTTCATTGTATTTGGCAATATCTGTTTTGTAGATACGAGCAATCTCTGGAACTAAAGGATCATCTGGATTTGGATCCGTTAAAAGCGAGCAAATGGATAATAGAACTTTTGAAATAGTAAGAGCTGGAGACCATTGGCCACGCAAAATGTCCAAACATATGCTACCATTGCTATTGATGTTAGGGTGATAAATTTTTGTTGAGAATGCCACTTTAGGTGGTTTGAAAGGATAATCTGTTGGGAAGTGTGTGTTCAGATTGAAGCATCCACCTGCATAAGGACTGTCTTCTGGGCCAATAATAGTAGCTTGCCAGTGAAATATGTCTTCTCCTACTGGTCCTGCTCAGCAGTTAGTGGGGGGATCTTTATGTAAGTCCATTAACTCCTTTGAAATTCTTTTCATAGCCATTTTGCTACCTGTACCTATGATAGAGCTGCTCCTCAACCCCCTACAATTGAAGACACTTTAGTGAGGCAAATAAGTTGTGGTTTCTAATAAACTGGGGTACTTCTTTTTTTTTTTTTTTTTTTTTCTATTTAATTATTTTAATATAAATTTTTAGTGAAAAATATAAAAATAATAGTTTATTATACATCTACTACCGGTATTCAAAAAACATTATTAAAAAACATAGGTATCTGTCCAATAAACAATTAGACATAATTTTAGTGCTTAAAATGCCATAACAGTTAACAGCAGTAAAAAAAATCCAACAATAATATCTCTAATGTTTAGTATTCTTCAAAAAACACTAGAATGGTTATTAATTTTAAGTAATTTAAGCATCGAAGTAAATGGCAGTGGGTAAATCCAATGAACACATCTTTAAAATCAATAGTTTTGTAGAAGTTTTAGGTCAATACAAAATTAGTTAAACATTTGAAACAATTCCTGATTAGGCATATTTTTCTGAACACAGTATGGAGTTGAAATAAATGAATACAATGCAAAACAGCGAAGTATTTATGAGGTATACTGCTCAGTTGACAAAAATTATTTACAATATGTTAACAACCTGTTATTTTGATGTAACTTATACTTTTTCAAATATAGGAAACATTTAAAGCTAAGAGTAATACATCATTTGGTCAATATTACTTTTGTTATTAATTTTTAAAAGGTTGTAATAAATCTTAATATTTTTTAATTATAAAAATTACACACTTTTTGTGATGTAAAAAAAATTTGATCACTTCTTATGACTTCAAAATAGGAATGCAATTTATAAAAGAATAAGGGATTCAGTTTTAATAAAAACTTTTGATGTAACAGATCTGAAAGTGAAAATGATCAAACAATTAGATCTTTCTCTTCTTTGCTGGGGAACCTGTTTTTAACCAGCTCATCATCAAATTACTGCAAGGATTTGGTTTGGTTTCTCCAAGCTTGACTGGTTTGAGACAGTCAGGTGTGTGGTTCCTGGAGTTGTTGAGAGCCTTTGAGACTGGGTGGTGGCTCAGGCTTGACTGGTTTAAGACAGTCAGGTGTGTGGTTCCTGGAGTTGTTGAGAGCCTTTGATACTGGGTGGTGGCTCAGGCTTGACTGGTTTGAGACAGTCAGGTGTGTGGTTCCTGGAGTTGTTGACAGCCTTTGAGACTGGGTGGTGGCTCAGGCTTGACTGGTTTAAGACAGTCAGGTGTGTGGTTCCTGGAGTTGTTGAGAGCCTTTGAGACTGGGTGGTGGCTCAGGCTTGACTGGTTTGAGACAGTCAGGTGTGTGGTTCCTGGAGTTGTTGAGAGCCTTTGAGACTGGGTGGTGGCTCAGGCTTGACTGGTTTAAGACAGTCAGGTGTGTGGTTCCTGGAGTTGTTGAGAGCCTTTGATACTGGGTGGTGGCTCAGGCTTGACTGGTTTGAGACAGTCAGGTGTGTGGTTCCTGGAGTTGTTGACAGCCTTTGAGACTGGGTGGTGGCTCAGGCTTGACTGGTTTAAGACAGTCAGGTGTGTGGTTCCTGGAGTTGTTTACAGCCTTTGAGACTGGGTGGTGGCTCAGGCACTTCTGTGGTTTGATGAGAGCAGAGGCCTTATTGAGAGGAACATTTGAGAAATCCAGCCAATCATTAACCTCTTTGGGTGTAGATAAAATTGCGGGCATGCGGTGATGACACCAGTCCATGTCAGATGAGGCGGACACAGTGGTGATGCTGTAGGAATACAAGGGAGGCGAACCATCTGAAGACTTCCAAATATCAAAGACACCTGCCATTGTCAAGAGTTTTGGACCATGCCACTCTTCAATCTTGCTACTGAGATTGGTATAGTCTGACTTTTCACTTTCTTGTTGGACATCTGAAAGTTCTGTCTTTGTATCGTCATCTGCTTTTTCTTCTTTTAAATTAGTCAGAGATACGGTTTCATTTGTTTCAACTTTTGGTTGCAGTCTTGGTGGCTTTGATTCATTTTCTTCTTTTAGTTCTGTCTTAATATCTTCATCTGCTTTTTCTTCTTTTAAATTAGTAAGAGATACGGTTTCCTTTGTTTCAACTTTTGGTTGCAGTTTTGGTGGCTTTGATTCATTTTCTTCTTTTATTTCACGTTTTGAATTACTGGCACTATTGTCTGGTAGAATTTTGAAGGGAAATTGCACTGTTTCTGGTTGCATGAAGTAGAAAAAGTAGGGTTGTTTCCCCTCTTTTAATGTTTTCCATTCAAAAAAGCCATCTGCCAAAATAACACAGCGATAACCTTTTTGTAAAGGAACTCTGTATGTCCTCTTCTCTAACATACCCTCAGCTCTGCAATTATTTGTTTCATATGGGATTTTATAAGGGTCTCCTTTGTGCCAAGATAGTGTGAGACCCCATTTCATTGGAAGAACAACACGCTCAGACTTAGCAGAGATTTCTGAATTGTCAAAATGTTGGCTTGATAAAAGAACAGGGGTGTATGAGGTAGGTGCCTTGTTGTAAGAAAGATAGTATTTTTGTCCATTTGCAGCATCCATCCATTGAGGACAATTTTGTTCACCATTTGCACTTTTAAACCTGCAGGCTGCAACAATCTCATCAGGCGACAATGTGCAGGCTGTTCGTCCACACATGGTTATGTTACGACTGTTGTAATAAAGAATCTTTGCTTATTTTTTACGAGGTACGCTCTATTTCTGGAAATTTTCGGTAATTCGAGGGGTACTTCAATCACACAAAAGAAGTTAAAAAGGAGCAGAGATCAAATTAACTTCCTGAAATATTGTTATATATAAATAAAATGATTTCACACGTTTTAGGGTTTTAAATTTTAGTCCAAGCATATTTTTAAAATATGCAAATAAAATGTTTTGGATATTTTATTTCAAAACATGTTTCTTAAATTATATTTTGCTTTTATACAATAATGAATTGTGCGTGTCTTGTTCCAAATGCATCTTTTAGTCAAGATATTTTGAATACAGTTATATATGTTGCGTCCCTTGAAAATAATTTTCATCAATATTAGAGGGAGATAGCTCCCATTAACATCGCACATAAAAAAATCATTAAAACATCGAAATGATGGCAGAATACCCCGCAATATTCGAGGGGGGGGGGGGGGGGCAGGACGTTTAGGGGGCTCACAGCCGACCATAATTATTTTTTTTAAATTTAAAATGTTCGCGCAATTTTGCCTTGATGTTTGCTTTGTAAAAAAACAAATACTCTAGTGGTGCTTGGATTATTCGTATCTCATGCTCTTCTGCAAACATTAAAAACCAGTGCACAAACTGTGGAGAAACAGAAAGGCAAAACTTCTGTGAATTGTTGATCCCCTTTGTCAGCAGAGTTTCTTCCAGGCATCTCTTTTTTTTACCGCCCCCCCCCCCCGAACGAAGTGAAATGTAGAAGAAGAAAGTCTACCCCGAAGAAAGTCTACCGCCCCCCGAAAATTTCAAGTGCCCCCCCGGAGAAAAAAGTCCGGAAAAATAACTGTTTGGCAGGCAAATAGCGGGCACGTTAAACATTCACACAATTGTATTATTTATTATAACAGTTCGACTGGACCTCAAAAGTGTACTGTGACGAGGAGAGGTCAAGAGGGGGGGGGGCGAGAACGATTTAGTGGGCCCAAAAATTGTCACAAAATTTATTTATAGAAGTTCAATTATAATAAAAAAGATTCTTTGTTTTTACACCATTGTGAATGTCGAGTTCTCAGTAACACGTGAACTCTACTTCACTTTCCCCACAGACCGTCGTGTTCGAAAATGGAATTTTACTTTTTTTCTATAAATATAGTCTACTAGAGGTAATTATTAATCGGGATTGTTTTGATTTTGGTTAACTAACCAGGATCCTGTTTAATTAAAATAATTAATCAGCATTGTTAAATAATTACAAGACCTAATTAATCTTAATTAATGTTTTCACTTAAATTAAAATGTGCACATGTTAGATCAACCAATATAAAAAGGTTAGAAACAAAAAAAAACAGCGGTTTAGAGTGCACAGTAGTTCTTTAACTCTAGCTCTACATTCTAATAGACCATTGGATGATTGCGCATTGGAAATGCAACCAAAATGCCTTGGGAGGTAAGTTGAGACGAGCCAGAAGAGCCAACGTATCAGGCCACCGTCTCTCCTTACAGCTGATGGAACCTATGGACAGGACGATACTTGTACAGCTTGCAATCAGCAGTGTAGCAGGAGCTGACAAAAGGAAACTAGAGTAGGTAATCTTATCGCCTAAGTGTGATAACTTCTGTTGGATTTTGGAATTTACTGTCCTAGATGGGTTGTTGTCTCAAGCTGTAAGGTTCAATACTTAAACCATTCGGACCACGTATACATATATATATATATATACATATATATCTGGTTATTAGAATGCTACTTGACCAATGTAAACAGAGGAAATATGCTACGAACACTACAACAATGCTACGATGAGACAATTACCAATTAATTATAGAGGCTGAAAGACACAAAAACAGATTTGCAGGCAATCGGACTGTCAGGCAGACAGATACATTGACATATTCACAGGCAATCAGATAGGCAATCAGAATTATACATATTTTTGTAAACCGAAAACAAAATTGTAAGCACATATATACAACAGAGATATTTAAAATGACTTAACACCATTGTCTACAACAATTTTATTAACTAAAAGCAGAACTAGATTTCTTTGACGTCCGCTTAAATGTGTCGATAAAGTAAACAATGCTTTCTGTTATTTACAAATCTACTAGTATTAATAATACTAGTAGATTTGTAAATAACAGAAAGCATTGTTTACTTTATCGACACATTAGTATTATTGTAATTTACATGTCATTCTTGTTAATGTTTAACAAAACAAAACAAAAACATCTGGTCAATAAATTAATAAAAGTAAGATTAGAAATAAATAAATATTTGTTCGTAGAATAAGTTTTTAACATGTACGACAATTTCAGATTGTAGAGGTTGTAACTACAAATTAGTTGAATCATCTTGATGCTAACATAAGAGCGGTGTCATCATTACGACATCATTTTGGTGACATCTGTTTGGTAAATTTATCATCGTGACATCATGTTGATGACATCAACTTAGTAAATCATCATCCAGTGGACATCATCAATGTGGAACATTCTTTGTAACTTCACTTCACATCATCTCAATGACATCATCCTGGCAATATCAGTTGTTTCTCTCCACCATCCTGATGTCAAAAGCCAGTGGTGTTACGGCGACACCAAAGACACCTTTCAGTGGTGGTAGGTTGGATGGGTCAGCTGGGAGCAGGTGGAACCTGGGGAGGTTGTGACAGACAGCGCGTCAATCTCTTTGTTATGTGTAAGTAATTGTGTTAATTATTTTAGCTTTACGCTTTTAGTTAAACAATTATAACTGTTTCATCCAATTTTAAGTAATAGCAATTACTATTACGAGTGCTTTAAATATATCTATAGTCTTACGTCTAAACATATTTCCTTCAATACTATAATTGTTACACTTTGAATGAAGACTAACATATTAAAGCTTTACTCCGATAATGTAGTGTTTTGTAACAAGTAATATATGTATGTGAGTATGTACTATTTAATATATATATATATATATATATATATATATATATATATATATATATATATATATATATATATATATGATTATAAGTGTGGAGAGTAGATCTTCTAGCATGGTGATTCTAAGACACGAAAAAAATAAAAGCAATTGATAATAAACAAACAACTTAAAATAAAGATATTTCTAGTAAATTCAAAAATTATTCAAAATAAATTCAAAATTACTGTCACATTCAGACTTACTGTCACACTTAAAGTCACATTCAGACTTACTGTCACATTTAGACTTACTGTCACATTCAAACTTACTGTCACACTCAGACTTACTGTCACATTCAGACTTACTGTCACACTTACTGTCACATTCAGACTTACTGTCACACTTAGGCTTATTGTCACACTCAGACTTACTGTCACACTTACTGTCACACTCAGACTTACTGTCACACTCAGACTTACTGTCACACTCAGACTTACTGTCACACTTACTGTCACACTCAGACTTACTGTCACACTCACACTTACTGACACACTTACTGTCACAATCAGACTTACTGTCACACTCAGACTTACTGTCACACTTACTGTCACACTCAGACTTACTGTCACACTTAGACTTACTGTCACACTAAAACTGTCGCATTCAGACTTACTGTCACACTCAGACTTACTGTCACATTCAGACTTACTGTCACACTAACTGTCACATTCACACTAACTGTCACATTCGGACTTACTGTCACATTCAGATTTACTGTCACATTCGGACTTACTGTCACACTTAGACTTACTGTCACACTTACTGTCACATTCACACTTACTGTCACACTTAGACTTACTGTCACACTTACTGTCACATTCAGACTAACTGTCACACTCACTTACTGTCACATTCAGACTTACTGTCACACTTAGAATTACTGTCACACTTAATGTCACATTCAGACTTACTGTCACACTCAGACTTATTGTCACACTCAGACTTACTGTCACACTTACTGTCACACTCAGACTTACTGTCACACTTAATGTCACATTCAGACTTACTGTCACACTCAGACTTACTGTCACATTCAGACTTACTTTCACAATTACTGTCACACTCAGACTTACTGTCACACTCAGACTTACTGTCACACTTACTGTCACACTCAGACTTACTGTCACACTCACACTTACTGACACACTTACTGTCACAATCAGACTTACTGTCACACTCAGACTTACTGTCACAGTTACTGTCACACTCAGACTTACTGTCACACTTAGACTTACTGTCACACTAAAACTGTCGCATTCAGATTTACTGTCACACTCAGACTTACTGTCACATTCAGACTTACTGTCACACTAACTGTCACATTCACACTAACTGTCACATTCGGACTTAATGTCACATTCAGATTTACTGTCACATTCGGACTTACTGTCACACTTAGACTTACTGTCACACTTACTGTCACATTCACACTTACTGTCACACTTAGACTTACTGTCACACTTACTGTCACATTCAGACTAACTGTCACACTCACTTACTGTCACATTCAGACTTACTGTCACACTTAGAATTACTGTCACACTTAATGTCACATTCAGACTTACTGTCACACTCAGACTTATTGTCACACTCAGACTTACTGTCACACTTACTGTCACACTCAGACTTACTGTCACACTTAATGTCACATTCAGACTTACTGTCACACTCAGACTTACTGTCACATTCAGACTTACTGTCACAATTACTGTCACACTCAGACTTACTGTCACACTCAGACTTACTGTCACATTCAGACTTACTGTCACATTAAGACTTACTGTCACACTTAATGTCACATTCAGACTTACTGTCACACTCAGACTTACTGTCACATTCAGACTTACTGTCACACTTACTGTCACATTCAGATTTACTGTCATATTCAGACTTACTGTCACACTTACTGTCACATTCACACTTACTGTCACATTCAGACTTACTGTCACATTCAGACTTACTGTCACACTTACTGTCACATTCAGACTTACTGTCACATTCAGAATTACTGTCACACGTACTGTCACATTCACACTTACTGTCACATTTAGACTTACTGTCACACTCAGACTTACTGTCACACTCAGACTTACTGTCACACTCAGACTTACTGTCACATTTAGACTTACTGTCACACTCAGACTTACTGTCACACTCAGACTTACTGTCACATTCAGACTTACTGTCACACTCAGACTTACTGTCACACTTACTGTCACACTCGGACTTACTGTCACACTCAGACTTACCGTCACATTCAGACTTACTGTCACACACACTTGCTGTCACACTCAGACTAACTGTCACACTCAGACTGTCACACTTACTATCACACTTAGACTAACTGTCACACACAGACTTACTGTCACACTTACTGTCACACTCAGACTTACTGTCACACTCAGACTAACTGTCAAACTCAGACTAACTGTCACACTTACTGTCACACTTAGACTAACTGTCACACTCAGACTTACTGTCACACTTACTGTCACACTTAGACTAACTGTCACACTCAGACTTACTGTCACACTTAGACTAACTGTCACACTTACTGTCACACTCACTTACTGTCACACTCAGACTAACTGTCACACTCAGACTTACTGTCACACTCAGACTAACTGTCACACTCAGACTTACTGTCACACTCAGACTTACTGTCACACTTATTGTCACACTCAGACTTACTGTCACACTCAGACTTACTGTCACACTTAGACTAACTGTCACACTTACTGTCACACTCACTTACTGTCACACTCAGACTAACTGTCACACTCAGACTTACTGTCATACTCAGACTAACTGTCACACTCAGACTTACTGTCACACTCAGACTTACTGTCACACTTACTGTCACACTCAGACTTACTGTCACACTCACACTTACTGTCACACTCAGACTAACTGTCACACTCAGACTTACTGTCACACTCAGACTAACTGTCACACTCAGACTTACTGTCACACTTACTGTCACACTCAGACTAACTGTCACACTCAGACTAACTGTCACACTCAGACTTACTGTCACACTCAGACTTACTGTCACACTCAGACTTACTGTCACACTCAGACTTACTGTCACACTTAGACTTACCGTCACACTAAAACTGTCACATTCAGACTTACTGTCACACTTACTGTCACACTTACTGTCACACTTACTGTCACACTTACTGTCACACTTACTGTCACACACAGACTTACTGTCACACTTGCTGTCACACTTACTTTCACACTTACTGTCACACACAGACTTACTGTCACACTTACTGTCACACTTACTGTCACACTTACTGTCACACACAGACTTACTGTCACACTTACTGTCACACACACTTACTGTCACATTCAGACTTACTGTCACACTTACTGTCACACTTACTGTCACATTCAGACTTACTGTCACACTCAGACTTACTGTCACACTTACTGTCACACTTACTGTCACACACAGACTTACTGTCACACTTACTGTCACACACAGTTACTGTCACACACATACTTACTGTCACACACACACTTACTGTCACATTCAGACTTACTGTCACACTTACTGTCACACACACTTACTGTCACATTCAGACTTACCGTAACACAAAAATTCATACTCTACCACGTCCTGTATCCAATATATGTCACAATCTGTTTACTTCACTTTTTGTCCGATGACGCTTATCTTCCAAATCAACATATGTCAACATATATCGACTCCGTGACTCTACTGAGAGGCCACAGTGACATTCACAACTCTTTAATGTTAAAAGCACATCCATATCAATTTCATTGTAGAAATTTGATATGTATTTTACACAGGTCCATGGTGTAGAATAGTAATTTATTCTTGTATAGTCGTACTTTTGAGCAGTTGGATGTCAAATATAGTTTACAGTTACTAGTTTGAAAACGGATATTTTTAAGTGTCTCAGAATTTGGAAATTATTTTATACGTGAATGCTTGCCACTTAAATTGTACTATAGTAATAGGATTTGTAAGTAGGTCACCGACTTCTTGTTGTTGTGTTTGCCAGCTAGTATTTTTCAAACCAACCCGCAAAAAACAATATATATATATATATATATATATATATATATATATATATATATATATATATATATATATATATATATATATATATACATGTGTGCGTGTGTGTGTGTGTGTTTGTGTATGTGCCGTATGTATGTGTATAAACTTTAATCACTGCAGAATTAATAGTAATGATGTTTATCTATAGTCTGTTAATAATGAATTTGGATGTAGAATTGTTTCTCTATAGTTAGCACGTTTTAATAATTGTAGATTTGCACTTAAAAGATTGTTTAACTTTAATTAATCTTTAATGGAACTGGCAAAAAGCATTTTTCTTCTGTACATTATGCGATTTTTTTTTGCCTTGGTGTCAACCCCGTAAATGGTGTCACCCGGTACGGTCCGCACCCCCCCCCCCCCCCTGCCCCGCCCTCGCTACGGCTGAGCCTATGTTATATTGTGATTTTTAAAAGGAAGCGTCGTTAGATATTCCTTAATCGAATCCGTGACAATATTAATATAATATTAAAATAATTACCGGTACTTAATTTGATATTTTCCGGTTCGTGCCAAGACACATGGGGCAGATGAAGTAGAGTTCATCTGTGTAAGATTACCTCGCCTTTAGTTTCCCTGGACATTCTACTAATATAAACGCGGATTTGAACTCGAGACTTTCGGGTTAGCAGTCTAGTTCTCTATCATTCTCCGGCAAACATAGATACAAGCCGTTATATGTGTCATACAAATATAACAAGTGTAGCGTTGTATAACGATAACTGTACTGTTAAACTTTCTCACATGACGGCCAATACGGCCGTTGAAATATAATCCACCTGTGACTCACAGGAACATGAAAGTATATTCATCTCTATGTCCAACAGCCATTACCTACCTTTACTAAGAATGAATCAGCGGAGCAGTTATGCGCCCTACCGTTTGACCGCGAATTCCAAATTATGTGGGTTAGGTTCAAACACAACAAACAACAAATTTTGCACTTAACACTCATGGACATATTTAGTAGCATACTAAAACATACACAACTTTAGAAATGAAATCGCCCGGAAATGGTTGCTGTTAAAGTACGTTCAACTAAAACAGTGTTTAAAATTCCCATCATTGGCTATGACCTTAAAACGACAGGTTTTTTTAAACGTAAAACATGCAACCTAATTAAGTCAAAGTAACGTTGTTTTTCGGTAAATAGAGTCCTCGTGTTTCATGGTTTATTAAAATTCAGTATATTGAAAGTACATGTATATTTTATTTTTTAATCTGTTGATATATTCGTATTTTAGCTTTTAATTCTCACGGATGTTTAAAGGTTACAAACAGAAGTTTATCTGAATGTGATCAATTAGAATTTGAAACGATCGATCATATAAATTAATTGTTGATTTTCTAGCTTTTGAATTTGGACGGTAAAGTAGACAATGTGATCTTCTAAACTAAAAATTTAATCAACGTAGACTACTGTTTAATCAAAGATATACTCATTTAAGTTTTCATCCTAATTAACTGAAGCAGACAATGCGATCTTCTAAACAAAAAATCTCATCTACGTACAGTTTAATCAATTAAGTAGTCAGCCTAATTAACTTCTGGAAAAAAAATTCCGACAGAACAAATGTGCTTCAACTACAATGTTAATCCAAAACAAAACATGGCTTTAGTGAAACTTTTGTGATTCATGTTAGAATAATAACTCAATTCACGTCCACTCTAAGAGATAACCTAAGATAATCTACGGGTGTTAATCCAAAACAAAACACGGCTTTAGTGAAACTTTTGTGATAAATGTTAGAATAATAACTCAATTCACGTCCACTCTAAGAGATAACCTAAGATAATCTAAGGAAATTATGTCAAAAGTCTTAAACGGTTATTTGATTTTTTTTTAAAAATACAAGATAATTTTGAGTATTTTGTGATAAAAGGTTATATAAGAGTGTACATAGCTGCATAGGTATATTTTATTGGTATAAATTATACATTTATCACATACATTTTATTTTATAAATTAAAACTAATATTACCAGACAATAAATGCTTATAAAGTGGAAAAACAATTATTACTTAAAAACATAAATTAATTCCAATAAGATCCCCATCAACATTGTTATAAAGTGTATTATGCTACATGTCGCATTATTGAACTATAAGCGTATGTACATGATCGAACACACGAGTTAAGCAAACAACGTTTAAAGTAGAGACGAACAATTCAACTCACGGTAATCAAGAAATGAGCTTTTGATTTCGATTACAACACGATTTACCTTCCGTAAACGAGAAAATAAAACAAAATATTCTCGAATACATTTTTACCGTGTATGGGAAACAGGCTTTACATTTGTATAGTTATCGAGTAACAGTAATAGGTATAGCTACTTTTTGCAAATTCTAAGGATTGAAATGTTAAAGGTATTTTTTTAAAGCAGAAAATTATGAAAAAAACTCGAAGTTGGAGTATTTTGAGTTAAAAGTTTATCCATTATATAAGAATTAACCTAGCTGGATACGTATATTTTATTGGTATAAATTGTACATTACCGTTAAAATTATGACATACATTTTATTTTATAAATTAAAATGTACAGCAATACCAAAATTGCCAGACATTAAATTCTTATAAAGTAGAAAAATAAATGTATTAAATAAAAACACAAATCAAATCCAATAAGATCCCCATCAACAGTGTTATAAATTATATTTTGCTACAACATATCTCATTATTGAACTATAAGCGTATGTACATGATTGAACACAAGAATTAAACTAACAACGTTTAGAGAAATGACGATTCATTCAACACTTTATGTAAACAATTAATTGCATTCCATATTCTCTTAACTATTAATTAAACTTTACATTCTACATATAAATTAACCATACAGCACATTTTCCAATAAATTACTTAGCAACAATAATCACCATACACATAATAGGACTTTAGGTTACTAATTGTGCCAAACAATATTTTATGTTCGATATTACTCAAACGATTAATGTATATACCAAGTTCTCCATACGAAATAATGGGTATACCTAATTATATTTAGCATTAATTTATATACATAATCATATTTACCATCAATGTACTCACACCATTATCCATACATTAATGTGTATACCACATTCTACATAACATTAATTAATAAACCACATTCTCCACACCATTACGTTATGCACTAAATTTTGCTTACAATTAATTTATGCACCTCAATCTCCATACCATTTATTTATACAACATACGTAACATTTTCATATATTAATTTATACACCACAATCTACATACCGTTAATTTATAAAACATGCGTAACATTTTCCATACATTAATTTATACACCAAGTTCTCCAAAAATGTATTTATACTCCACATTCTCCATACCATTAACGTAACCACCGCCTTCTAAAACGTATTAACTTCTACTTCACATTTCTCAAATAGCTAATGTTTTTATAACACCCTCTCTCCAAGCAGCGCGTCATGTTCCGCCGCCCCATTTTCTATGCGCACTCTGTGTTGCATGTTGTCGTAGAATGAACTCACAGAGCCGTTCTCATCAGGGAGATGTTCTCTAGGAGATGCCAGCCTTCTCTCACAGTGTCGGCCACTGGCTACACAGTGTCGGAAAAAATTCCGAGCCGCATAGTAGCCACGCTGTGAAGGAAATAATTTAAACGTTTAGTTGTTTTTTTTTAATCAAATATTAAGTTATAATAGTGTTTAAGTTTTATATTTTTATAATTAATGCGGTTCAATTTTTCCCATAATTTCTGAATAGAATAAAATAACATTGAGTGTTTTGGGCTGCCCCGATTTTCATTTTGATCACTAGTTACAAATTTTGTTTTAATTAAAAACGAACGATAATTTTGGAAATTGTGGTCAAGGTTGAGTAGAATTCTCAACAAACATATCTGCTATTTGCGCCAAATTATGCTTAAAGAGATTCCTAACCCGTAATATATTTGTAATGTGATCAGCTCTAATATTAAAAAGTACATTTGTAATGTGGTCAACTACAATATAAAAAGAACATTCGTAATGTGGTCAACTACAATAAAAAAAATACATAAAATTGTTGTGTGGTCACCTCCAATATAAATTACCCCAATTTAGAGAATAAAAAAAGACTTACGTCAATAACAAATTCCTTGTCTGCTGGTTCTAGATCGTAATCCGACGTGCCGACATGTCCTGTGTTGATACCAATCGTCCTGTCTACGTCTTGTTCCTGTATGGACAACAAAGTGCATTTTTAAAACAACGAAAAAAAAAGACGTTTTAACATTACTAGCACACGTAGGATTAAGTGCCTGGCGACATAACCAACAAAGCATTTAATCAGAAATGTGGTATTATCAGTAGGTATTAGGTCTGGCTGTGGAAACACTAAATGCGTAAAAGGGTCATCTCCTATTAAATTAGTTTAAAGACATAGCAGCACATTTTGTTTCGAGGGTGTATAATCTATTATTGTTATTTTTTAATTAAAAATTTTTCAATAAAGAATAAGAACTTTACCAGGTACTACACATTAATTAAGGAAAGTGAAACAAAACAAAATTCGAAGGTCTCATTTTCGTTCTGATAGCTAAATTTGGTACAACATCAGAGGCTTTCAATCTTGCAGGTTATTTACTTCAGATTAAGAATTGCATAAACCGTAATTGGGTGCTAAATATTTCACATACATCGTAAAATAAACCACACATTTCAATGACGTCACCAACCACACAGCACATTTCACTGACGTCACCAACCACAACAGACATTTCACTGACGTCACCAACCACAACAGACATTTCACTGACGTCAACACATATGACTCACATCGACGTAAATAAACTTCAGGTTGGTGTACATGGTGTTCTTCAACGCCTTGAGGAACTGGACAAACGACGTGATCTCCTTCCTGCCATAGCCGTGAATTCTTGTCTGCGTCACACAAACACAACACAAATCAGTTTATTTAGAAAATGGGTCATCCATAAATGACGTCACGCTTTTTTGACGATTTTTACCTCCCCCTCCCCTCCGTCACACATCGTCCCAAAAAGCCAGACCCACCCACCCCCCTAAAATGACGTCACACCTCAGCCTACAACCCCCCCCCCCCTCAAAATTGCAGTTGAATTTTTTTTAAACATCGATATTTTTACAAAATCTTGTCTGAACTCTGTCAAAATAGAGTATTTTAATCAATTCCTATTACAATTTATTAAAACAGTTTTCTAAAACGCGATATAACGTCTAAAATTCGTTTTCTAACATTGCTTTTTTATAATGCAAAAGTGTGACGTCGCACCATCTGACCCTCCCCCCTACCCTTCATCACACACTGTCACAAAATTACGGATCCCCCCTCCCCCTACTAGTGTGACGTCATTAATGGACGACCCCAAACACCATAATTAATTTTCATCTGATCAAACAAATAAAAGTTTCCTTTTTTTTAAGCTAACTAGTATTTACTTGTCTGTAGTGAGAAAAAAAAACTTTATTTTAATGTAATGTAAACTCAAACAGCTTTTTCAAAGAACGGATATAGAAAACTAAACAACTATAAATTTATTATTTCATTATTTCACATAAACGCAAAATACAGCGGGGAAAATGTGCAAACGGTAAAATGCAGAAATACAAACTAATTGTGTTTATACACTTTCCTTTTGTTATAATTTGTAGGAAAGTGTTTTTACTATGCTACTATATAGGCTACATGTGGTCATTTTTGCCAGTTTTTGTACATGTTCGATTTAAAGGCGAAAAATCTCTTTCCCAATTTGTTTTGTATCTATCCGGTCACCAGTCTTATCATCGGTTAATAGTATTAACCCGTTATTATATTATGTACCCAAACAGACCTTATATTTCGGTCATTTTCTAATGTTAACAAAAAAATGTTTCAACCTGCATTCTTATTCCCCTTTCCTCAAGGAAGTGTAAAATCTCTGGAATTGATATCTAAAAGATCAAAAGATAGATTGCATATTATATGTATAATTATATATATATATATATATATATATATATATATATATATATATATATATATATATATATATATATATATATATATGTGTGTGTGTGTGTGTGTGTGTGCGTGCGTGCGTGCGTGCGTGTGTGCGTGCGTGCGTGTGTGCGTGTGTGTGTGTGTGTGTGTACGTGAAAACATTGTATCTAATAATGTAAGAAATCTGTTAAGTATTCACTACATTGTCAGGTTGGCACACAATGAATAACAAAGTTCTTTACCGTGCCAGTTCCATCCTTGTCCAAAAGATCCAAGACATTATCGACGGTAATGTTGTTCCCAAACAAAATTGTTGCATTTTCTTCTGAGAAGACCTCGGTCTGTTGAGAATGGGTTTTTATTAAAATGTTTTGTTATAACTTATTTGATACGAATCGTGTGGGTATATATATATATATATATATATATATATATATATATATATATATATATATATATATATATATATATATATATATATATATATATATATATTTATATATATATATATATATATATATATATATATATATATATAAGAAAATATATATATATATAAGAAAATTCAAATCTTTAATTTTAATAGGAAGTAAACAAATGCTTTAATATTCACTCGAGAAACTAATTCAGAATTCTCCAAAAATGTGTTTGTTTTTTTCTTTACCAAAATTTAACATATTTTCTAAAGCTATACACTGTTTAGAATACCTTGTTTTTTATATCAATTGTATAGGTAATTTTTTTTAACAGTATTCGTAGCTACTCACATCTCTTAAAGCATTTTCTAATTCATCTCTTTCAATATGCTCCAGGTCTTTTTTGTTGTGTTTATCTAGAGCCTACAAAAGTGTATAATCAGGTTTAGAGTTTGACACGTCTCATATGTCTAAAATTAAATAAATCTAAAATGTCATGAGTCTTAAATGTCATAAATACAAAATGGGAAAATATAGAATGGTTTTAAGTCTAAAATATTTTGAGTGTAATATGTTAAGTTTCAAATGTTTTAAGTCAAAATTTGCTTATGTCTATAATACCACATGGTTAAAATGCCATATGTTTAAAATGCAGTGTGTAAAAAGTCATGAGTCTAAAATGTCAAGTGTCTAAAATGCTGACTAAAATGCCATGTGTCTAAAAATGCCATGTCTAAAAATGCCAAATGTCTACAATGCCATATGTATAAAATGCCATATGTATAAAAATGCTATTTGTGTAAAACAGTTATATGCCTTATGCCTACAATGCCTTATGACTTAATGACATTTGTTTAAAATGTCATGAATAAAAAGCAAGACGACTTTACATCATGACTAGGCTACATAATAATCAACCCAATGTTTAACTAAACAGGTTTTTTGACAAGGGTAATACGGTAAAACGAAACTGAAATAATATGATTTTTCGGATTTCAACATAAGCGTGTTTTTGTCATTGTAACTTTTTTGATCTGACACGCTTTTGTATTCCTTATATTAATAAAGGCTTACTAACAGTCATAAAAGCTTCAACGGCAGTCACAATCTTTCGGTGTTCCCTTTCGGCGTTTGCCCTTTCCTGCATCTTTTTGCGTTTTTCTCTGCATGGAATCAAATATTGTCAGCGAATATATGTAAAGAAACATACAAGTCATTGTGTGAAGGTTGAACTGACCCATAACAATTTTGGAAGAAAAGAAACACATACGAAAGTGCCAGAGTCTAAACCCCCTCTCAAATTGAAATAGAATTTATATACACAATTTATTCTTCACCCAAGGTCTGCCACCCCTCCCCTCCCTGGAAATTTAAGTCCGCCCCTCTCCCTTCGGATAGTTTTAAGTACCCCCCCCCCCCCCACCTCGGTGAAAAATGTCTGAAATATAAGCACTGGATAGTGCGAAGAAAATGTTTTGAGTATTACGACTCATAAAAGTTAAGAACTACTGACGTTAGTGCAAACAAAGAAATTTTAAATGCTTTTTAAAGTAAAGTAAAACGGGTGTTTAATGTGAAGCGAATGATATTTGAAAGTAAAAAAAAAACCTGCTAGTGAGAAGACAAGACTAGCATATCTCTAATGGAAATAAAATGAAAGTAAAGAAACGCTGAATCTAGGGCTAGGAAAATTAACTTATCTATACACTTTTTGAAAGCAAAGAAATATGTTTGGAAGGAAAAAAAACATGCAAGAGAAGCATATTTTTTTTTAAAAAAGTAACACTGATGCTAGTGAGAAGAAAAAAAACGTACAATTTTGAAAAAAAATAGATTAATTAAATAAACATTGGTATTAATTGAAAGGAAAAACACGTATAATTTTAAAAGAAAAACATTTGTTATATTGCAAAGAAAAAACTTGGATTATTATGGAATAAAAGCAAAGAAAAAACATAATGTTGAAAAAAAAAACATTTTTATATTGAAAAGAAAAGACACGTATAATTTTGAAAAGAAAAATGCATGTTTATATTTGAAAGAAAAAAACACGTATATTTTGAAACAAAAAGTGTTATATTGGAAAGTAAAAACACGTACTCAAACAACTTAGTTGTCTTTACTGGCTCAGCTGGCTCATTGGTCCCAGCTCTGGCTTCAAGGCTGAATCTCATTATCTCGGTCTCGGCTTCGTCGTACTGTCGTAGAAAATATTTCCTTTAATTACCTCATTACTTGATGAGAAAATTACGCTATAATCATATCATAAGTTTTTATTTTTTGAAAAATACGCTCTAATTGTTTTTTAAAATATATTGTTTTTTTTTTAATTTTACAAACTATACCGTAATCATGTTTATTTGATTTTGTACTAATATTAATTAAAGATAAAGTTCATAATCAGCAAACCAATCAAGTATGAGATATAAGTGTATAATATAGGAAAAAGAGTTGTGAATGATAATATTAATATTTACTAATGAGTGACTACTTATAAAACTTGAAATTATTTTTTAAAGTTGACATTGTTACATGTGACGGGGGTTCAAAAACTGACCAAAAGAAAGCCGAGAGTCTTCTCATTGCGAGGATAGAACCTTCTGGACATGTTGCTTGAGAAGTTCTGTAAGGATGTCATTTTGGTGAGTAGGGAGTCTTCTTTCCTCATCGACAGGTACCAGCCTAGAGTTGGATATTTAAAAATGTACGTACGTTTTTATTTCTGTTTATGTTTGTTTGTCGTTGTTGTTTTGTGTTTTTTATTTGTGTTTTTTATTTGTGTTTTTTTTTTTTTTTTTTTTTTTTTTTTTTTTTTTTTTTTTTTTTTTTTTTTTTTTTTTTGGTTGTTTGTTGTTTTTTATATTTATCTTATTAAATTAATACTTTGAATATGTTTTTTTTTCTGGCTTTTAAGTGACATGTTTCGAGGCTAATGGCTTGTACAACTTTAGTCCTGTACAAGAATCCCAACCCTGTGTGTACGTGTCTTACCGTCGTAGCAGTGTAGCGGGTAGTTGCACAAGACTCCCCCGTCCACGTAGGTATCCGCCTGTCCGTGTATGTCGTAAATCGTCGGCGAGAACACGGCTGGGGGGGGGGGGGGGGGGGTGAAATAGTGGATCAGATTAAAATCCAGTTAATGCATTTAAATTTTTAATAATTAAAAAATAATATTAAAATACGTTCATAACCAGCAAATGTTTTTATATAAATCAAACGTTTAATTAGTTTTAAAAATAAATTAGGGTTAAATGTATAACCTGGTATTGCCATTGTCATGCGCAGAGCATCTCTAATTGGCATGTCTGGAGTGGTCTTAGGGTGACAGTACTCAGACCTCATTTGGTTGAGGTTAGTCACAACAACACACAGCTCGATGTTCCTGTGTTTGTATAGCTTTAGGAGGAGAGTATAGAGGAGTTAGGGGTTTATTCTCACAATTTGTTTAAAGTTCAACTTTGGCTCATAAGTATAGACAAATTTAGGGGTTTATTTACACAATTTGTTTATAATTAATCTTTTGAACATGAGTATAGAGAAATTAGGGGTTTATTTTCACAATTTGTTTATAGTTAATCTTTGGAACATAAGTATATAGAAATTAAGGTTTATTTTTCCAATTTGTTTATAGTTAATCTTTGGAACATGTGTATAGAGAAATTAAGGGTTTATTTTCACAATTTATTTATAGTTAATTTTCGGAGCATAAGTATAGAGAAATTAAGGTTTATTTTCACAATTTGTTTATAGTTAATCTTTGGAACATGTGTATAGAGAAATTAAGGTTTATTTTCACAATTTTTTAATTGGAACAAGTATAGAGAAAAAAAGGTTTATTAAGTTTATAGTTCAATTTTGGGAAATACATTAACATAAATTAAGGGTTCGCACAGCTAAATAGTTTTTTTTTAATATAGCTACAGCAGTAGGTGTTCAATTCCGAGTTTCGTTAAAGTTAAAGGAAAAATGAAAGGTTTTTTTTCAACTAGTTGATTCTTAACTTCAGAACTTGAGAATATAAAAACTAGGTTTATTTAAAATTTAGAAAATCAGTAGGTCATATACAGAAATCAAAGGCTATTTAATATAAGAACGAAATGGAATTAATTGAATATTGAAAAAATATATAACATAACTAAAGATTAGAAAAACGAATCAGGTCTTTTGCTTTATTAGGACGAAAAAAAAAGTTGTTTAGATCAAAGTGCTTAAACTACAAAAGTCTAGACTATTATTTCAAAGCTACCAACACAAATTGTAGTAATACAAACCTCATAGAAGGTCATATCCGGGTTGTTTTTCTCTGGAGATTTTTCTTTGATCTTTTCTCCCAGCCAGTCCCGAATTCTAATACCAGGATTCCAGCCAAATTTCCTCAACAAATTGGGCAGCAGACTTAGGTAGCCACATGAATGATCTAAAAGAATGACACATTAACGCGATGATACATTATAATAAAACAAATCTAATCCAAGATATTAAGTGGAATTGAAATATATATATATACATATATATACATATATATATATATATACATATATATATATATATATATATATATATATATATATATATATATATATATATATATATATATATATATATATATATATATATATATATATATATATATATATATATATATATATACATATATATATATATATATATATATATACATATATATATATATATGTATATATATATATAAATATATTAATATTGCCTCATCCATAAACAATCTCACACTGCTAGGGGGCTGAATGCGATAAAATGTATTGCTGATATTTAAAAAATATTACAAAATTGAATTGAAGGTTGTTTTTTTTTTATTTTCATTTTTTTCATTTGAATCTGATATTGGTCCTGATTACCAAAATTTTTATTTTTTTTACATAATATTGATTTAATTTCCTCACAAACAGGACAACTACTCAATTAATATTTTCAGCGAAAACATCTCAGCTTGATTATATCCCTTTACCAAAATAAAATGAAAAATTAGGGATGGGGTGTAGGCCCCTATATGCCGAAGTTAGACGTCGATTTAGAGGATTTCAATTTTCTGACTATCATAGCAATGGGGAAAGTAGTATACGTTACATCGTGGATGGACCATCTCTAATAACTACACAGAATAGCGTGGTTGGACGATAGGGCACGTGACTCCTAACTCGAAAGTCTCCAGTTTGGATCTGTTACTCAAATCCATACGACATCCCTGAGTCCATCAAGCTTTGAAGATTACGAAATTCACGTTCGGCAACCAAATTGACCACAATATCCCTTTTTAGTCCAGGTTAACAAAACACATGAACTCTACCTCATCTGTTCTACTGACAGTTCCACAAGAGAACTTTAAGGGGAAATAAATACCAAAAAAATGCAATATAATAGAATATTAATTTTACTATATCTACATGAACCATGCTGTTATAACATTTAAAATGTACATTGTAAATTACTCAAGATACTAATTGAAACCCACAGGGGATAAATCACAGTTGTCATAGTTATCTATTTTTAAGTACACTACATGAATATGGAACTGACTCAAAATTTTCAAAAAAATGGACTTTATCACGTGTGGTCTTATATATCATTATATATATATATATATATATATATATATATATATATATATATATATATATATATATATTCTTTTGTTTTTTTTTTAGCATTCACACAAAAATTCAATCCGTACGTTGAATTTACCGACCAAACATACAACGTACAATAAAATTCAAACAAATATTTTATACCTAGAAAAATGTCTCGCGTGTCGACTTCGAAAAATGTCCGGATGTCTTCTGAATTGTACCCTAGAGCAATGAGGGCAGCAGTTATGGCCCCTGCGCTGCTGCCTCCCAGTCGCTTCACATTGTTCATCAAACCCAGCTCTTCTAAATACTGCAAGAAAATAAATGAACAAATCCTTCATAAAACCCAGCTCTTCTAAATACTGCAAGAGAATACATGAACAAATCTTTCATCAAACCCAGCTCTTCTAAATACTGCAAGAGAATACATGAACAAATCTTTCATCAAACCAAGCTCTTCTAAATACTGCAAGAAAATAAATGAACAAATCCTTCATCAAACCCAGCTCTTCTAAATACTGCAAGAAAATAAATGAACAAATCCTTCATAAAACCCAGCTCTTCTAAATACTGCAAGAAAATAAATGAACAAATCCTTCATAAAACCCAGCTCTTCTAAATACTGCAAGAAAATAAATGAACAAATCCTTCATAAAACCCAGCTCTTCTAAATACTGCAAGAAAATAAATGAACAAATCCTTCATAAAACCCAGCTCTTCTAAATACTGTAAGAAAATAAATGAACAAATCCTTCATCAAACCTAGCTCTTCTAAATACTGCAAGAAAATACATGAACAAATCTTTCATCAAATCCAGCTCTTCTAAATACTGTAAGAAAATACATGAACAAATCTTTCATCAAACCCAGCTCTTCTAAATACTGCAAGAGAATACATGAACAAATCTTTCATCAAACCAAGCTCTTCTAAATACTGTAAGAAAATACATGAACAAATCTTTCATCAAACCCAGCTCTTCTAAATACTGTAAGAAAATAAATGAACAAATCCTTCATCAAACCCAGCTCTTCTAAATACTGCAAAAAAATACACGAACAAATCCTTCATCAAACCCAGCTCTTCTAAATACTGCAATAAAATACACGAACAAATCCTTCATCAAACCCAGCTCTTCTAAATACTGCAAGAAAATACACGAACAAATCCTTCATCAAACCCAGCTCTTCTAAATACTGCAAGAAAATAAATGAACAAATCCTTCATAAAACCCAGCTCTTCTAAATACTGCAAGAGAATACATGAACAAATCTTTCATCAAACCCAGCTCTTCTAAATACTGCAAGAGAATACATGAACAAATCTTTCATCAAACCAAGCTCTTCTAAATACTGCAAGAAAATAAATGAACAAATCCTTCATCAAACCCAGCTCTTCTAAATACTGCAAGAAAATAAATGAACAAATCCTTCATAAAACCCAGCTCTTCTAAATACTGCAAGAAAATAAATGAACAAATCCTTCATAAAACCCAGCTCTTCTAAATACTGCAAGAAAATAAATGAACAAATCCTTCATAAAACCCAGCTCTTCTAAATACTGCAAGAAAATAAATGAACAAATCCTTCATAAAACCCAGCTCTTCTAAATACTGTAAGAAAATAAATGAACAAATCCTTCATCAAACCTAGCTCTTCTAAATACTGCAAGAAAATACATGAACAAATCTTTCATCAAATCCAGCTCTTCTAAATACTGTAAGAAAATACATGAACAAATCTTTCATCAAACCCAGCTCTTCTAAATACTGCAAGAGAATACATGAACAAATCTTTCATCAAACCAAGCTCTTCTAAATACTGTAAGAAAATACATGAACAAATCTTTCATCAAACCCAGCTCTTCTAAATACTGCAAGAGAATACATGAACAAATCTTTCATCAAATCCAGCTCTTCTAAATACTGTAAGAAAATAAATGAACAAATCCTTCATCAAACCCAGCTCTTCTAAATACTGCAAGAAAATACACGAACAAATCCTTCATCAAACCCAGCTCTTCTAAATACTGCAATAAAATACACGAACAAATCCTTCATCAAACCCAGCTCTTCTAAATACTGCAAGAAAATACACGAACAAATCCTTCATCAAACCCAGCTCTTCTAAATACTGCAAGAAAATACACGAACAAATCCTTCATCAAACCCAGCTCTTCTAAACACTGTAAGAAAATATATGAACAAATCCTTCATCAAACCCAGCTCTTCTAAATACTGCAAGAAATTTCATGAACAAATCTTTCATCAAATCCAGCTCTTCTAAATACTGTAAGAAAATACATGAACAAATCTTTCATCAAATCCAGCTCTTCTAAATACTGTAAGAAAATACATGAACAAATCTTTCATCAAATCCAGCTCTTCTAAATACTGCAAGAAAATTCATGAAAAAATACTTCATCAAACCCAGCTCTTCTAAATACTGTAAGAAAATATATGAATAAATCTTTCATCAAATCCAGCTCTTCTAAATACTGTAAAAAAAATGAACAAATCCTTTATCAAACCTAGCTGTTCTGAATACTGTAAGAAAATACATGAACAAATCCTTCATCAAACCTAGCTGTTCTGAATACTGTAAGAAAATACATGAACAAATCCTTCATCAAACCTAATTCTTGTAAATACTGTAAAAAAATAAATGAACAAATTCTTTATCAAACCTAGCTGTTCTGAATACTGTTAGAAAATACATGAACAAATCATTCATCAAACCTAGTTCTTCTAAATACTGCAAGAAAATGCATGAACAAATCCTTCATCAAACCTAGCTGTTCTAAATACTGTTAGAAAATACATAAATCATTTATCAATAATAGCTCTTCTGAATACTTTTTTTTTAAAAAACTCATCAAAACAAATATTATGAATCCAAACCAAAATATTTTTTAACGAAATGTTGGAAAAAGTGAGCTTATCTGCACCCAATAATATTCGTGGAACTAAAGTCAGTTGTAGTGAAATAAAAAGTCCTTTGTTGACGCTGGTATATGTGTCATATTATAGTGTGAATTGTGATTTTAAAAAGATCTTTTGTGCCTACCTTAATGCAGCCAACATACGCTAAGCCTTTGTTCCCGCCCCCTTCAAACACGAGGTTTTCAAAAGAAAAATTGTACTCTCTAGGATCAGGTGTGTCTATTGTTAGCTGCTCCGGGTAGCTGTCTGCACTGGCTAGAGAGAGAAACAAAATAACAGGGAATAAGGGACCACCCACATTAAATTCATTATCTGAGATTAAAGATTTTTTCATGTCATGCTATCTGCGTTAGTTCGTGTTTAGTTTTCGTCATTAATTTTAGTCTTAGAGAGGAATAAGCACAGAGATTTAGAGACTATATACAGAGTTCTAGAGACTATATGAAGGGCTCAGTGGAAAAAAGTACTTAAGTTACATTTTTTCAAAAATGAGTTAAGACCGGTATATTATTTGATTACCTACCCTTAACCATCCCTGTAAATTTGGGCCATGGAAAAAGTACCGAAGTAGCTTAATTCAAATACTTTGCATCAGCTGTTTTGGTATTTCAGCTTCAATTTAAAAACTTATTGTACTCATTTTTCTCAAAACTCTCAAAATACACTTAAGTACTTTTTCCACTGAGCCCTTCATATACAGATATCTAGAGACTATATACAGAGTTCTAGAGATTATATACAGAGATCTAGAGAATTTACACTCATCTAGAAACTGCACAAAGATCTAGAAACTATACAGAGATTTAGAGACTATATACAGAGTTCTAGAGACTATACAGAGATTTAGAGACATTACACAGACATTTAGAGACTATACTTAGAAATCTAGAGGCTATACGCAGAAAGCATACATTTTCTAATAAAACATAAATATTTTTTAAAAAGACGAACAAAAGGCTAAAGGCAGTATTTTTCCCCAAACATTTCTCAGATTTACGTCAGTAGGTAATTCAAAGGCCACTGTGGTTAAAATAAAATCACACGTCTAAATTTTGTATAGTCAGCCGGCACCCTACCCTACAAAAAAACGTACCTATGATATCCTCTGTGTTATCAGTCGAGTCTACACTAAGTCTTGTGTTTCTCCAACGTGTCTCCTCCTCTTTTTGTATTGCGGCATGATATCTGCGGTCAAATACGTAAATCTTTAAATTGCTTAAAATATGCGTGAACGTATGCACATATTATATTTGGAATTTTTCTTAATTAAACTACATTCTTTCAAAGCATGTTACTTTGACGAAAATAAGTGATTCTTACAACGTAAAAATGTTTCGGTCTATACGTATAAGCATAGGTAGTAACTGTGTTTGGCTAGGTAATCTACAGCATGAACGGTAAATTGGGAGCCTTGTTGTTATGGGCCCAAATGTCACGGACCCTAATTATACTTACTTTTGAATGTCAGTAAAGACCTGCTGTTCATTAGCACCGTGACGTCCACTCCGACATAGTATACAGTTCCCCATCCAGAGGAAATATGTTCCTGTTTATGTGACACACGCAATACATCAATCATGTACACATCAACATTCTTCTTCAAACAGCTTGCTAGAATAGAATATAATATAATCTCTTGTGATTATTTCTTGTCGTAATCTCATAAAATGGTTTAATTCCCACATGTGTTACGTTTATTAAAGGAAACATTTCACGGTTCAGTGAGATGCAGATATTTCAATATATGTAAGTGGAAAATTCCTTTGTTATAAATCTACTTGCATATGGTATATATGTGTTCGAGTGTGTGTATAACTTGTAAATCAATACAGTATATTTTATCCAAAGAGATTTGTGAGTGATGTAAATATAACAGTGTGTGTCTGAATGTTATACATATATATATATATATATATATATATATATATATATATATATATATATATACATATGTATATACATATATAGATAAATAGGTATTTATAAAGAAATATATTATATGTATATTTATATACCTATGAATAAAGACAAGAATTATATATGTATGTATGGATGTATGAATGTGCTACATAAGTTATCCAAATACACACAGAGATCCTGGTTTTATACTATTACCTACAGCCTTACCAGATCACAAGTGACACAGTGTATCGCCGGCCAAGAACCAACTGGAAATAAACACACACAAAAACACTTACCTCTCGAACTGTTTCCGTGTTTGATGGAACACCGCTGCAGCTTGTTGCTATTCGATGTATTGTTTTTTCGCGGCGATATCACAGGTGACAGCTGGTCTCTACACACGGTCCAGGTGTGCTCAGGTGAATAGAGCACACTGTAGTGTGTTGTTCGCCTATAGACTTGAGATCAATGGAAGGTTAAGTCGAGTAAGCGGTTCAATGAACTAAATATTCATGCACTGATTCACAGCTATTTGCACCCGGCTTAGTTATAAATAGTTGTTAGAAGCGATCATCACATGAACAGGGTTGTGCATATATATATATATATATATATATATATATATATATATATATATATATATATATATAGTATACATGTGTGTATATAAATATTTATATACATGTGTATATATAGGCCTATATATATATATATATATATATATATATATATATATATATATATATATATAGTTAATTATATATTTATATATATTACATTATATATATAATATATGTATATATATTTATATATATATTATATTATAGAGTAAATATATCGATATACATATATTGAGAGAGAAAGAGAGAGAAATTTATAGTGGCCAGGGTTGTTCATATATATATATATATATATATATATATATATATATATATATATATATATATATATATATATAATATACATGTGTGTATATAAATATTTATATACATGTGTATATATAGGCCTATATATATATATATATATATATATATATATATATATATATATATATATATATATATATAGTTAATTATATATTTATATATAGTTAATTATATATATAATATATGTATTTATATATATATTATATTATAGAGTAAATATATCTATATACATATATTGAGAGAGAAAGAGAGAGAAATTTATAGTGGCTGTAGGATATATCACATAACAGCAACTTTAGCTGTACAAATTAGTCAAAAAAAATTACAGTTTTTTTGTGCACTTTCTTCTTCGTTCTCAATTTTTAGCCTTATCTGCCCGAGGGTTGGAACTCGAGACTTTTTTTTTCGAATTTTAACAGCCATGAGCTTTGCCGACGCTACCACGTGTCCAACACAATTAAGTATACATGTCAACTAATTGAGTCCGATTTCAGCCTGCTTTTCTTTTTGGATTATCATCCATAGTCTTTGTCCAACCAAGAACAATCTACAAGGCAGCAGTTGTTTGATTTTGGAGTTGTCTCTCCTAGAAGAGTTTTTGTCCCTAGCTGTCGAGCCGCATTTGCCCCGAGAGATCGAACTCGAGACTTTTCGGTTTAGCAACCATGAACTCTACCGACTCGACCACGCCGACCCCTGCTGTGCACTTTGATAGTCTAGTGGTTTTGTAAAAAGAAAACTCATACACACACACACACACTGTTGTGTAAAAAAAAAAACTACGTGAGCAGTAGTTTGAAAGATAGGCAAACCTCCAAACCACTTCCATGACTCATCGCTCCTCGTTAAATATTCTAATAGGTCTGCCTGGAAGGCTCGAATTAATAGTTTTGTAACCAAGCAAATTAAAAAGCAAATTTCTTCTCTGAATTATTGTTAAAATAAGCGATAGTAAGAATGTCAAGGCTATAAAAAGGAATATGTTCTAAACTATTGATATAAATGCAATTTAAATGACATAAACCAGATTGTTTTATGCTAGATCAATCTCTCACTTCGCTCGTAACGTCATTTTCGGTATTTCCCGTTTACATTTATAGTAACTCTCGCTTTTCCCGTTTATTTGACGTGTTTGTGAGCAATGGGTTTATTTTATTTTTTTATTTTTCTCGGAAAGTTGTGGATGCCACGTCGTTGGTGTAATACAGATGCCTAAATATTTTCGAATTAAAAAAAAAACCAGTCGTAACCTAAGTTATATAATCAAGAAGATTTTAAAACAGAAACATAAAATAAAAAAGGTTTTGAAATGTCCTATTTGTTAACATATTCATATATTATTCAATGAAATTGGATGGCTAAGATTGCACCTATTAAAAAAAAACGTGTTCAGATACAGCCCATGTAGCAGGTGAAGCAGAGTTCACCAGTTTTCTGTGATCCTGATACAATGGGATGATGCAGTTGTTTCCCTTACATGGACACATAAGGGCTGGGACGCCCTAATGAATCAAGTTGGGGATCAGAACTCGAGAATCAAAAACCGAAATCTTTAACTTGAATTACACACACACACACATATATATATATATATATATATATATATATATATATATATATATATATATATATATATATATATATATATATATATATTAATGCGCGTGTGTCTGTGTGTGTATTGGTTTTTTTCTCAAGCCACTATCCCTTTTATTTCGTCCTTGAGACAGTTACATTACACCTAACTATATTTCTCGTCCCTTTCAGTTTACACGCTTCTCTGAATTTACACGTCCCTCAGTTTACACGCCCCCACAGTTTACAATCCCCCGTCAGTTTACAAGCCCATCTCAGTTTACAAGCCCATCTCAGTTTACACGCCCCCACAGTTTACAAGCCCATCTCAGTTTACAAGCCCATCCCCCACAGTTTAGAAGCCCATCTTAGTTAACACCAGTGTTTCTTCCAGACTTTTTTCTCCGGGGGGGGGGCACTTGAAATTTTCGGGGTGCGGTAAACTTCGGGGGGGGGGGGGGGCGGACATTGTTAAAAGTATATATTTTCTATATAAATTATATACATTTCATTTCGTTCGGGGGGGGGGGCGGTAAAAAAAATTCGGGGGGGGGGGGGGCTTCGCCCACCCGAAGAGATGCCTGGAATAAACTCTGGTTAACACGCCTTTCACGGCGTCTGTTGACTATACTTAACCGATAACTACATGTGGACGAATATGGACAAACTCCAATAATTTTATCAATAAAAAACACATTTTCAGTTATTAGAATTTATTTACGTAAAAGCTTCTACAAAACATTTATCAGGACGATTTTAAGAACAGAAATATTATTTGAGTAGCTTTTTACTATAAAATATTTACAAAGATACACCATTTAATACACAAGAAGAATATCACAGATCTAGATATACACTAAAAAGAAAAACATGGAGTTAAGCATAAGAAAAAGTTAATGAACGTAAAAGGTTTTGATTTTAATCAACACTTTGTTTTTAAATAACTGAAATATTAATCAATATTTTTTTTAAATGCTTAATATGTAGAAATACTTGTCCATATTATGTTAATCACGTATTCATTATAAAATAAATAATACATTTTTAAAAAAAAAATTTATTATTAAGCTTTTGTTAAAACAAATTCACGTCGAACTATTATATAAAGATCAAACGTAAGTATGTGAGTCAACCGATTATTTAATTTACTTTTCTGTTTTTGGAGCTCCTAAAATTTTTTTCTTTAAGTATGCTGCTATAGTTGAACGCACCTTTTTGAAAGTTAGGTTCTTTAACTCCTCTTCTTCCTTTTTGACTTTTTCGGCCTGTTCTTTCCGTTCTCTCAATATTCTCTCTAGATCTCTCTCAGTGCTCCTTAAGTTCTCGTTCAGTTCTTTCAGCCTCGCATCGTAGCGCTGTGTATCAGTGTGGAGTTGTTCTTTAGCAGCGTCGCGATCGGCCTTCAGTTGTTGTTTTTCTCTCTCGTATTTCTCTTTGATTTCTTGCAGCTTCATAGCTTCCTCGACCGCTTTCATCTGCTGGTCGACACATTCGCTCTTTTGTTTGGCGATGTCGATAAATTCGATGAGAACGCCGGTACCTTTGTCTTCATCAACAATTCTCTTCATCAAATCTTCAGCTCTGTGTTTTAGATGTTTCAGTCCCACACGCTTTTTTTCCAGATCACCCATATCTAATTCACACAATTCTTCAGTAATCTTGTTAGCTTCTCTCCAGAATTCTTCTTTAAGGGCAGGAATTTTTTTTTCCACAAGGATCTCATCCCGTCTGTTTTGAGCCAGTTGAAAGTTGGAGTCTTTATACCGCTGAGATTTGCTAATCTCGTCAACGGTTTTTATAAGTCGCGTAATCTGATCGTTGATTTTTTGCTCATCTGTGGTTTTATTATCGAATAAAATGGCTCGATTACTGCATTCGTCCAAAAGTTTCCTGAAATCGCCTCTTTGTTCCTTACACCATTTCTCAAAATCTACCTTGACTTCAAAATTATCCCCGTTTGTCACCACCACAACGCACCAGTTTTTCACAAAATCTTCTCCGAAAACATTTTTCAGAAACTCAACAGTCTGTTTCTCTTCCCTTGTGAACCTCCCACCGTATCTGAAAACCAAAAGAAATGCGTGATATCCCTGGGGGTGCGCGGATATTGCTTCAGTAAACCAGTCCATGTACTGTCCCCACCCATCGTCCCCCAGCCCTGTGTCCTCCACACCCGGGCCATCAACGACTGTAAACTTTACGCCACGGCGCTCTGAGGTTTCCTCATTCAGTCCCCTGGTTTCCGAGGTCGTGTTTCCGCTTGTCTTAAACGCTTTTTTCCCTAAAATGGTATTTCCTGTTGAGCTTTTACCGTTGCCGGTTTTACCTATCAGTAAAAGATCGATTTCCTTGGCTTCTGGATTCATAGTGTCAAGCTGGGTCGTAGTTGTAAGACGCTTCAGGGAGGTAAGACTGAAATATTTTTTAAATAGTTGTATTAAAATATGGAGAGAGAGAGAGAGAGAGAGAGAGAGGGAAAGAGAGAGAAAGAGAGGTAAGAGTTGACCAGTGTTTCTTCCAGACTTTTTTCTCTGGGGGGGGACTAGATATTTCTCCGGGGGGGGGGGGGGGCGGGGGTTCAACATTTTCCGGGGGGGGGGGGCGGTCACTAGTAAAAGTATAAGTTTACTATATAAATTCCATCCCCAAGAGATGTCTGGAAGAAACTCTGGAGTTGACTGTTGTTTTCCTCGATAGCAATTTTTTTAACGTTTTTTTTTTCAGGACTGAAGATCTATGGGGCAAGTGGAGTAGACTTGGCCTGTGTCTCTCTAATCTCGGCATATAAGGAGATAGGTTGGTTAGCACCATGACAACCACCTCTACTCCCCCTATTGTGAGTCAGGTACCTATCAGAGTGGACTCATTCATGTTGTACGGACTTGAACTCGAGTCATTTCGAGTTAGCAGTCGTATGTTCAACCATTCGACCACGCCGTTTCATAGCCATTGATTAAAATATTTACAATTACGATAACAATACTCATACCGAGAGAAAAACATGTGAATGAACATTTGATAATGCAGCATACATTGACAGACAACGCTTCTGTAAAGCGAAATTGTAATGTTAATTCATAGGTCACCTGCTCTATTGGAGATGATCAAGTACCGAAGGTTACAGCATACAAGAAGCTATACGTTACTTACCAATATATCCTTTAGAAAAATGTGTTGAAGATAGCAAATCGAATAAACACAAGAATACTTCATATATAATCACAATCTAGAACATATTAGATATTCCTCTGACTACTCACCTAAGGAGAAATGTGTTTCTAAGTTTTCTAGAAAATCCGCAAAACTATTATATAGTTCGGGAAATCCCAAAATTACCTCTAAGGTTATTTATAGATTAGTGAGCGACAATACAAGTCAAACTACGGCTCAAACGCTAGTCAGTGGCAGCTACAGTGAAGAGATGTCTTGTAGGATAGATGGCACACACATACACATATATAATTGTATATATATATATATACATATATATATGTATATATATATATATATATATATATACATATATATATATATATACATATATATATATATATATATATATATATATATATATATATATATATATATATATATATATATATATATATATATATATATATATATATATATATATACTAGCTGCATCCCGTGCTCCGCCACGGTAAATCTTTTTTAAATGTACCAACTTGGGAACAGAACAAAACTAAACACAACACAAACGAACGCAAAAAAAAACACAAACGAAAAAAAACAAACACAATACTCATAACATAAACACAATTTAAATGCAATCATAAAGGCATATTGCTCACAGTCTAGCCCGTAGCGCCCAATCGCGCCCTTTCCGGTGATTTGCACCCCCCTCAAACTTTCGATTTGCACCCCTGTCCCCCCCCCCCCCCCCCGCCCTAAAATTTTCGATTTCCAACCCCACCCCCCCCCCCCCTTGCAAATTTTTTCCAACCCAATTTGGCGCCCCTAAGGTCGGCCCCCGGGGACATATGCCCTCCCCTCGCTACGCCTCTCCTATAAAACCCCTAGCTTGTCCTCAAACCGAAAGATAGAATAATAATAAGTAAACAGTATCAATAATAGGCAGTATTTAAAATATCCGTGTTTTACCTACAATATTTCACTTTATCCATTCACGCATTTTTTTCCCAGTACTTTAAATTTTAAAAATTTACAATAGAGTTTCATAACTAAAACCATTGCGCACCTAACCCTAACCCTAACCCCAGGTGCCAAAATAGCCCCTGGTGATCTCGAGACGCTCAACTACACATTTCCGTAGGAAGCCGTCACTCCAATATTTTCAAACAAATATTAGGGCTTTGTCAAATAGGGAGGTATTTTTAGAGTGCCCAGCTCAGGCGGAGGAAAACCTTCTCATTTAAGGGACATACATAAATGACGTCATGCTTTCTTTGATGACCCAGAAAAGGCCATACCCTCACCCAAAAATGACGTCATTTATTAATTGATTATAAATGTTTAATTAATTCATATACTAATAAGCAGGATAGTAAAGAATAGTAGTTCTATTAATTCAATAAACGTACTTTTGACATTGTAAAAAAAAAAACAATGGATTGTGAGCCCCTTTCCAACGCTATAAAGCAGGGGTCTCCAAACTTTTCAGCCCGAGGGCCTCATTAACTATGAAATTTGAGTTCGGGGGGCCAGTTTTCTTCCAGGCATGTCTTTGATTTCTCAGGACAAAGTTCCTCAGCCATCACCAACAAACGATTTTTCCTTGGACAAAAATATCTCCGCGGGCCGGATGAGAGGACATCGCGGGCCGCATCCGGCCCGCGGGCCGTAGTTTGGAGACCCCTGCTATAAAGAAGCAAAAGTCTAAATATCTAGCGGCCTCTCGCGCAATTGACTTTGATTTTTTTTTCAAAAGAATTTTGACGACAACGGCGTATTCTTTTTACAAAACAGCCATCAAATCAAAAATGCAAGAAAATTATTTTTTTTTAACTATAAAAAAATTGATCATGGTCGGCTGTGGGCCCTCAAACGGCGTGGGCTACCCGGCATTGCGGGGTCTGGCGGCACTGTAGTTCCGCCCCTGCCCGAGCTTCGCTACGGTGTAGTGAAAAATTGTGCACTCTAAATGACACAAGACGTAAAACACATTTTCTTTTATAATTGTCGTGAAATAAAAAATACTTGCACAAAATGAGATATTAAAAAGAGGTAGCGATAACTGAAGGGCTAATTTAAAAAAACAAAACGCATAACAAACCGCCAGACATCATGAGCCAAAAGCCCAAATTAAACCCCAAATCACTGGCTCCACCCCCTTCTGCCAACACAACACGTCCCACTAGATCACATAGCCCACCCCCACAAACACCACGAACCACACCCAGTCACGAATACAACACCAGACACACACAATTCACCATACACCAGAACAATGAGAAATAGGCGACTTCATAAATCTTTCAGGAAGACAAAACGCCTATATATATATAGGCTATATATTTTATTTTGAATTTCCGTGATAAAGCCTCGCTTTAGGGGTAAATTAAACTTTGAAATACGAACTAGGACATTAACCTCACCCCCCCCCACACACACACACCCAAGTCAATTAAGCTATCAGCGGGGGTAATGTCCTTCTGAGTTTGTAATTGACAAGGGGATACTTTCTCCGTGTGTTATATCGGGAAGGGGGGGGGGGGGGTGGGGGGGGGGAATATCTGGGAGTTAGGGGTCATCCATAAATGACGTCACACTCGTAGGGGGGAGGGGGGGGTCCGTAATTTTGTGACGATGTGTGATGAGGGGGAGGGGGGGGGTCAGATGTTGCGACGTCACATTTTTGCATTACAAAAAAAGGAATGTTAGAAAACGAATTTTAGACGTTATTTCGCGTTCTAGATAACTGTTTTAATAAATTGTAATAGTTTAGACAAGATTTTGGAAAAAATATCGATGTTTTAAAAAAATTCAAATGCAATTTTGAGGGGGGGGGGGGGGTTGTAGGTTGAGGTGTGACGTCATTTTAGGGGGGGGGGGTCTGGCTTTTTGTGACGACGTGTGACGGAGGGGAGGGGGGGGAGGTAAAAATCGTCCAAAAAAGCGTGACGTCATTTATGGATGACCCCTTATGTCGGGGGGGGGGGGGCGGGCGGGGGTAATGCCCTATACCCCAAGTCTACAAAAAGGTAGTTTGCTGTACTCTTTCGCTAAGTATTTATTTTAAATAGCGTTTGGGTTGTGTTTCTGTGACTCATCGAATTTTTTTATTGTTACGCTATAAAATGTCCAATATAAATAATTCTGGGTGTTATCAATTTCTTTGGCTGTATTTTGTATTTTCTTGTTTTCGATCTCACCTCAGGAGACAATGGACGCACCCCCAGAAGTGTAATCCTGTGGGTACACACAAGGGTTTGGGTGAGGAGATCAGGCGTTGACCATGCATAATGATCACTGTTTCGATCTTTGCTGGTATATTTCAAATTAATCAATGGCGTCGATAGGTTTTGTGTCACCCTATGCGGCACTTCGTGGTGTCACCACCACCCCCCCCCCCCCAAGAAACAAAGTGTATATGTGTGTGTGTTTTTTTTTTGTTTGTGTGTGTGTCGACCTACATATACCTATAATTTAAATGCATGCCACTTACGCGTACATCTATGTGTGTAAGATTTAATCGCTGCAGACTTAATAGTAACGATATGTATCCTTAGTCTGTTAATTATACAGTTGGATGTAGCATTGTTTTCTCTATAGTCGATTTGTACCTAAAAAACTATTTAACTTTAATAGATCATTAATGGGACTGGCAAAAAAAGTATTTTTCTTGTGTATATTTTGCAATTTTTCGTTTTAGTGTCACCCCCCCCCCCCCCTAACCTAAATGGTATCACCGATTGCGATGGGTTGAAGTTTCCATGTATTGCGCCTTATCTACCCTGGGCTTCAAACTCTGGAATTTTTGGAATAACAATCATGAGTTCTCCCACTCAATTGAGTCGTCTACAACTAAATGAATACCACAGAAATTCAAAATGAGTTGGTTTTTGTTTACAACATACAATTGTAAAATAGTCCAATCCTTTAGGAAAATCCAAACCATTTGATAACCAAAATATCGTTACTATTTTTAGTAATTTTTCAAATGAACTTTTTTTTAAAATTAAATTTTGTAACAAATTTTTGTAAAACAAAACTTTTCCAAAATTAATTTAATTCATTAAACTATATGTTAAATATCGAAGATTTGTCCAAAATCTCTCTTTTTTTTCAAGGTTATAATACTTTCCACATATACTCCGTATACAATAAAATACTTCCCCATATACTCCGTACACAATAAAGCTAAAATATACGAAATTATTAAAACAAAACAAACCAGATATAAATGCTTCAGAAAGAAATACAACAACGAAAATTAACATCTCTTTAGATTAGAATGATTGAGTTTAATTTGTTAATAAAATAAAATCTTCAACACAAGAACTAATTCAATTCAGCTGCATTGGTCCTACTTTGGTTGATCTAGGTTAAACAATGAACAATCACCTAGACTAGACATGTTTTGTGGAGTATTTAAACCAATGACAGCAACACATTTACTCGGCGCTACAACCAATCAGTAGGCGTCGCTTGTGGTCTCTGTAGTAAAGCTGTTGCCCTCTGATAATAACTGCCATGTGAAAAACTGCGTCAAACATGGTATTTTAATCACGTTAAAATTATTCTGAAAGAATTAGCGGTACAGGCACTAGACCGCTAACCCAAAAGTCTGGAGTTCGAATCAGGGTTTAAGGTAGTAGAAGATAGCGCTGACCACATAATCCCCTTGTATGCCGAGGTCGTTGAATAAGATGAGCTCTACTTCATCTGCCGCATGTGGTTTTGGGCTCAGACGTGAAAAGGTGATGGACATCACTCTTCTTTTCTTCTTCCTCGTTCTTAATTATTAGTGTTGGAGGGATTGAGATTTATCTGCCAGTGCGTTTGAACACGAGACATTGTTTGAATTTATCAACCATGAGCTTTTTTGCTGACTTGACCCACGCCTCCAACACAATTAAGCTTTACGTGTCAACTGGTTATGCGCCGTTGAGGCCATTGAACTCCGATTTTCAGCCTGCTTTTCTTTTTGATTTGCTTCCATAGCATTTGTCCAACCAAGAGCAAACTAGAAACAGCAGTTGTTTAATTTTGGAGTTGTCTCTCCTAGAAAGCGGCTGTCCCCAGCTAACGAGCCTCATCTGCCCGAGGTTTTCGAACTCGAGACTTTTCGGTTTAGCAACCATGAGCTTTACCGACTCGACCCACGCCGACCCCGACATCACTCTGACTAAGTGATGTTTTTCAGCCGTTAACGATACTCTTATGATCTGACGATGTGATGTTTTTCAACCGATAACGTTACTCTTATGAACTAATGATATCAAACATAAACAGAATATTGACATCAAATTATTGACATTAACTAGTTGACATCAGTTGTTTCGCTCCACCATGCAGATGTCAAAAGCCAATGGTGTTACGGCGATACTAAAGACACCTTCCAGTGGTGGTAAGGTGGTTGGGTCACCTGGGAGCAGGCGAAACCTGGGAGGAAAAAAGAGGAGTATGAAAATTATACTGAAATAATAAGTAATTTTGATTGTAACACAAGATTCTTATTTCTTCTTATACTTAATCTCGTTCGTGCCCAAGACACATGAGGCAGATGAAGTAGAGTTCGTCTGATTCATAGACATCGGCATATAAGGGGATAGTTTGGTCAGCACAATACCGAGCCGCCTTTGTTTCCCAAACGTGAGTTAGGTACCCATCAGAGCTGGGTGGACTCAATGACGTTCCACTGATTTGAACCCGGATTCGAACTCGACTCTAGGGTTAGCAGTCTATCTCTCTACCGCTAGACCTCGCCGTCCCTTAAGGTTCTTATTTAAATTTACTAAACATAGTTATGTTTCATAGTTTAAAAACAACTTTGCTTCTTTATATTTTTATAAAATACACTTTATTGTAATACATTGCAGTATCTCACGAGTAGCTAAACACATGGCATTTTCTGCAACGTAACTACCTTTATAAAGTATTGGTTGTTTAATGTGTTCAGAATATTTTGATATGTTTTTAATTATTAATGTGGTTTAATTTTTACCGCTGGTAAACTCACCTTTGAAATAAATCAGCTAGGAAGAGAAACAACTCCATTTTAGCCAAGGAATCGCCCAGACATAACCGTCGACCTACTGAGAAGGGTATCAGTTCCTCGCGCGAGATGACGTCACCGTGGTCATCAAGAAATCTCTCGGGTCTAAAGTTCCCCGGGTCTCCCCAGACTTGCTGGTCGTTGTGTACAAAATCCAAGTTGGGCAGGACTTGTGTCCCTTTAGGGATGGTGTAACCGCCAACGGTCGTGTCTTGTGAACACTCGTGCACTGTAGCGTATGGGATGATTGTGGTCACTCTTTGGACTTCCATGATGAACGCGTTTAAATAATTTAGCTTTGGCTTGTCGTAAATTGTAAGTGATCGATTAGTTCCAACATTCTCAACAATTTCCTGATAAATTTTCTCCTGTGTTTCTGGGTAATGTAAAGCGTACAGCATGGCCCACATCATCGTTGAACCTGTGGTATCAGTACCCGCTGCAAATAAATCTTCAACGGCGACGCTTAATTTTTCTTTATCCAATAGTGTTGCTTGACCTTTCGAGTGTTTATATTTAAAATCGTTGACAAACGCGACAATAAAATTGTCATAGTTACAGGAGTCTTGATTCTCCACACATACATTTACAAGATCTTGCATGTATTGTTTCATAGCTTGAAGAATGGATACCAGGTTTTGTGCTTTGAAAGGGTCAAAGGGTATGTACTTTAGAAAAGGGAAGAAGTTGAAAATAGATAAGGATGAAAACGCTGAAGTTAGTCGTTGATTGAGATGTAAGAGTTGATTAAATCTGGGGTCCGACAGCTCGAATTTTTTCCCGAAGATAATTGAACAGATGACGTTAGCGACGCAAGCGTTGGTTAAATTCCTGACATTCGTTGCTCTACCGTTCAGGTGAGATAACTCCTGCAGGTAAACTTCAACCACCTCAGATATTTTCTCCGCCAGGATATTTTTACCCATCCCTAAATCTCTTAATATTGTCATTGATGTTGTTCGTATTTCTTTCCATAGCGGCCCGGACGAAAGAGCAATTCCATTTGTTCGTGCAGGGAATAATTTAGAAAAGCAGTCATGTTTTGATCTATCAGAAAAGTTATCTCCCTGTTTAACAAGCGCCTCATGGATCAGCTCGTATTTGTTCAACACTACAAACGGTGCTGTCCCCATCTTTAAGCTGAAAGCCCCTCCTGATGTCCGTGCCCATTGTCTGAAGTTTTTTCTTGGATCTTTCTCCATCAAATAGAGATGACCAATCAGAGGCAGGGACAGACCAGGAGAAGGCGGGTAGTTTGGTGGTGCTGGCTTGTGGTTGTACCACCACACCAGAGATATGAGGACAACCACAAGCCACGCCCATGTGGGTAGTGTGGAGAATAGCTCTTCTAGCATGGTGGTCTGAAATATAAAAAATTGAGTTTTAACGCACTGTAAACCAGATGTTTACATACCGGATGATAATTTTTTTTTACAGAAAAAGCTTTTGGATATACTTCTTTACTGTGGGTAGTGTGGAGAGTAGCTCTTCTAACATGTTGATTCTGAAATCTAATAAACCGGTGTGATCTCCCCTAAACTTTCTCGAATATTCTTATATAAAATAACAGGGGATGGGAACTCGGGCTATAGACATGATTTTTAATCCATTTTAAATACTTAAAGTTTTAAAGTTAGAATAAAATCTCGTATACAAATCAATTGCACACTAAGTGAACGCCAAATAAAAAAGTGCATAATAGTGCTCAATATTATTAGTACTTTAAAAATTTACATTTGTTTTTTGAGAAATCGGAAGTAGCGTAAATTAGTACTTCCGGTCAACGGAAATGACTCAAAATTTAACAGAAGGTAGAGAATTAGATCTTTTACTTACATGTGAAATTTCATTTATCTATCTGAAATAGTACTCAAGTTATAGGCTTTTGAAAAATTCAAAGTAGGAAAAGTACCACTTCCGGTTATCGGAAATCGTTCAAAAGTTGATACGGATCTACGATTTTGATAAAATACTTATATATGAAATTTCATCAACCTAGCTGTAACGGTACTCAAGTTATCGTGTTTACACACGGACACACACACACACACACACACAGACACACAGACATACGGACAAGATTGCAAAATTATGTTTTTCCGTATCAGTGAGATGTAAAACGTCGAGATTTGTAAAAATCTCGTTCTTTTTTTTTTTTGCACGATTACAAGACTTTCTCTATACTTCGTATATACGAGAAAGTAAAAAATGGAGTTATAAAACGCCCTATAAACCAGATGTTTACATATTGGGTAATCATTTTTACTGAAAAAGCTTTTGGATATACTTCTTAACTATGACATGCTGAGTGGGGGGGGGGGGGAGCGAGCGTTTGGTACAAAAGGATATTAATGGAGAAGGGATCGATGCGTATGGTAGGCTTAAATAAAGTGGTAAAAGCGGCGCGGTGCTACGGAGAGACAATTATCCAACGGATAACTGAGTCGTCTAGTAGTGTATAAATTAGGTGCGTATTGTGTACTACATTTTCTGAATATGTGAAATGTAGTTATTCAACATGTTCCCTTTCATTTTTGATTCCTACCGACAGAAGTCGAAAACCTTTCATATTCTCAACACTTTTTAAAAGTTAAAATGAGTTTCAAATTAACAAATGACATTTTACAATGTTAATTTTAATTAGGTTTAGAAACTACATTTTAATGCAGCTGTAAATACATTAATGATGAAAATACATGTAAAATATAGGAGAATATAAATACTTTACCAGAATGCCAAAGTCAGTCTAGAAACGATAGCTTTAAAATTTTTAACGCAAAATCAAATGTAACCTATCGCCTGATGTTTATAGAATCCACTGCAATATTTAGACCATGGTCGATGCTAATTTTATGCAAATGCATCGTAAATAGATTGGGTGGGTCTATTACAGTGTGTGTCATGTTTCAAATGTTCATGAAAGGCCAAGTTTATTTTGTTTATATTTATCTACTTCACATTGCAGGGGAGAGTCTAAAAATATTTGGATTATATGGATAACTGTGTCTGATAAGTCTAGAATAATAGAATCGTCTGACAAAAAGGGGTGTTAGGTTAGAGGTAGCACACAAAAAAACTATTCTATCCCGCGAAAGTCAACCATAACCCCACCACAGCCGTATTGCGTTATACGAGCATCATACACGAACCTGATCGCCCTGATCATCATAAACAAATACAACAGCTAATACCATTCATGGTAGGCTTACTAGCCGTCCATGATACTAGCCGTCCATGATATTAGCCGTCCATGATATTAGCCATCCAAGATTCTAAACGTCCATGATATTAGCCGTCCATGACATTAGCTGTCCATGATACTAGCCGTCCATGATAGTAGCAGTCCAAAATTTAGACGTCAATGATATTAGCCATCCAAGATTCTAAACGTCCATGATATTAGCCATCCATGATATTAGCTGTCCTTTATATTAGCCATCCATTATATTAGCTGTCCCTGATATTAGCCATCCAAGATTCTATCCATGATATTAGCCATCCACGATATTAGCTGTCCTTTATATTAGCCATCCATTATGTTAGCCGTCCATGATACTAGCCGTCCATGATACTAGCCGTCAATAGTTGCGACATATGGTATAGCTCAAATAACCCAGTTATCCGCTCGCCCGTAACATATAACAGAACATGATAGAACATAGAGCATCTGCTAAACCGAAAAGTTCAAAGAATTAAAGGCGATGGTATATTGATGCAACTAAGCCAGTGCATTATGGTAATGTCAATTACCACCAAAGCAATTAGCCTCCCCCTCCCCACTCATAGTCTGATAACTTGAAGCTGTGGCTAGGGCTAGGGCTAGGGCTAGGGCTAGGGCTAGGGCTAGGGCTAGGGCTAGGGCTAGGGCTAGGGCTAGGGCTAGGGCTAGGGCTAGGGCTAGGGCTAGGGCTAGGGCTAGGGCTAGGGCTAGGGCTAGGGCTAGGGCTAGGGCTAGGGCTAGGGCTAGGGCTAGGGCTAGGGCTAGGGCTAGGGCTAGGGCTAGGGCTAGGGCTAGGGCTAGGGCTAGGGCTAGGGCTAGGGCTAGGGCTAGGGCTAGGGCTAGGGCTAGGGCTAGGGCTAGGGCTAGGGCTAGGGCTAGGGCTAGGGCTAGGGCTAGGGCTAGGGCTAGGGCTAGGGCTAGGGCTAGGGCTAGGGCTAGGGCTAGGGCTAGGGCTAGGGCTAGGTCTAGGTCTAGGGCTTGGGCTAGGGCTAGGGCTAGGGCTAGGGCTAGGGCTAGGGCTAGGGCTAGGGCTAGGGCTAGGGCTAGGGCTAGGGCTAGGGCCAGGGCTAGGGCCAGGGCCAGGGCCAGGGCCAGGGCCAGGGCCAGGGCTAGGGCTAGGGCTAGGGCTAGGGCTAGGGCTAGGGCTAGGGCTAGGGCTAGGGCTAGGGCTAGGGCCAGGGCCAGGGCCAGGGCCAGGGCCAGGGCCAGGGCCAGGGCCAATGCCAGGGCCAATGCCAGGGCCAGGGCCAGGGCCAGGGCCAGGGCCAGGGCCAGGGCCAGGGCCAGGGCTAGGGCTAGGGCTAGGGCTAGGGCTGTGGCTACGGCTGTGGCTATAGTCATCAGCCAACTATTATACAAATTTAATTGGAGGAAATCAAGATCTAAATAACCCTATACTCTCTTCTCATCCACACACTCTAAAAACCAATTTTTATCTGAACCAAAACAATAAAATTCATATGATTTTTTTCCACTTTTTTCTTATTTTTATCTTTTTATAAAAAATTTCATATTTTGAATCATTTAACAGCAGAAATTATTCGTCCATCTTTTGATGTAAGAGAAATTTAAAATAAAATCTTTAGAAGTGTATAATAATAAACTTTTGTTAAGCACTGGAAATGGGGAAAAAATACTTTTTACTTTCTCGAATAAGGAGTATAAAGGACGTATTGTAATCGTGCAAAAAATCGAAATCGAGATTTTCATAAATTTTGAAATTTGGACCCCCAGATGTCTCAAAAAATGCATATGAATTTATTAAGTACTAGTGTTCTGCACTATAATACAAGCATTGTTTACAGTTCAGTTGGTGCGCAATTCTTTTTTCTACGAGATTCTATTATATATTAAAAATTTTAAGTAGGCCTGTATAAAAATTGAATACAAAGCATATTTATATCCCGACTTGCCATCCCCCGTAATGATATATAAGAATACCAGACGTCCCGGCCAGGCCCTGCGCTGGCATCTGTGAAAAAACTATCCGTAAAGGTTCTTTACGTGTGTGTTATTTAAACAGCATATGCCTGTCGTTGCCCGGGTTTAGGAAATATATTACTTTTCCAATGAAATATCTATATTGAAATATGAACACTTAAGCCTAATCCAAACTCTAACATTCGAGAAAGTTTAGGAGAAATCACCCCCACTTTATTTGATAAAAAAATTGGTTGCTAAATTGTATACGTGAATCAACTAACGACCAATGCTTATACTTGAACAAATATTTCGTTGCATCAAAACTGGGTTACAAATGTATCCGCAAACACAAAACAAACTGAGTAAAAACTTACAATAAGAAGAAACATTTAAAGATTACTAACCGTTGTAATTTATCATCAACATACGAAAACATCTAGCTGTAATTAATAAAACTATTCGTTCAATGTCTCTACAATGTACGTTCAGCAATACAATTTCATATTTCATAACTACACAATATTTTTAAAAAGCATGAGTAAACATTAATATAAATGTGCAAATACACACACAGTCACACACATTTATATATATATATATATATATATATATATATATATATATATATATATATATATATATATATATATATATATATATATATATTGGTGTATGTATAACTATGTATATATATATATATATATATATATACCAATATATATATATATATATATATTGGTGTATGTATAACTATGTATATATATATATATATATATATATATATATATATATATATATATATATATATATATATATATATATTTGTGTATGTATAACTATACATATTTAATATTGAAATTACTTAAAGAATGTGATGATATAGTGACTGTATCTTGTTTGTATCAGATTGTCTCTCTCTCTGCCAGTCTAATTTCAAATCCCTCCGGCCCTACAGTGAGACCAAAGACACCTGTCAGTGTTGGTAGATGGGGTGGGTCAGCTGGGAGCAGGCGGAACCTGGTGAGGATGAGACAACCATGAAAGTCAAACAATTATCATCAGCGAAGTCGAGCTGTGTTAACAACTTTAACTTGGGTGATGGAACAGAAATATAGTGAAAGTCTTAGCTATGTGTTCAATTACACAACTCACAATATAAATGCATACACACATGCAAACAAAGTAACACACGCACACACACACCTAAATTATTATTTTTTGTTAAAAAATATGAATGTATGTATTTATAGATTTCATGATATTTTGATGATAATTAAAAAGAATTTCTCACCCCTTCCCAGCTCTCAATCAACCATAAAAAAAACAATTAATGTATTAGTTAAATTTTTTAGGTTTTAGGAATTCAATATTTTGTGTATTAACTATAATTGACGACACTATTGAGCAGTGAAAACTGACTAACACAAAATACCATCATTCAGCAACTACCTTTGATGGTTTAATTTGCATATAAATCAAAAAAAATTAAAAGCGTTAGTAGCTTCAATAGTAGATATTAAAATCTTCTAACCTTTGAAACAAAGCAGACAGAAAGAGAAACAACTCCGTCTTAGCTAGCGACTCTCCCAAACAAACCCGACGACCTATAGAAAAGGGCATTAGTTCTTCACGGGAGATGACGTCACCGTGGTCATCAAGAAATCTCTCGGGTCTAAAGTTCCCCGGGTCTCCCCAGACTTGCTGGTCGTTGTGTACAAAATCCAAGTTGGGCAGGACTTGTGTCCCTTTAGGGATGGTGTAACCGCCAACGGTCGTGTCTTGTGAACATTCGTGAATCAGAGCTAGTGGAAATATAGTCGTTATTCTTTGGACTTCCATAGTAAATGCGTTTAAGTATTTTAGATTCGGCTTGTCATAAATTGTAGGTGATCGATTAGTTCCAACACTGTCAACTATTTCCTGATATATTTTCTCCTGTGTTTCTGGGTAATGTAAAGCGTACAGCATGGCCCACATTATCGTTGTACTAGTAGTCTCAGTCCCAGCTGCTAACAAATCTTCAACTAAGACGCCAAGTTTCTCTTCGTCTAAAAGCGTGTGACTACGACCTTCCTGTTTTGTTTTTATCTCATTCACAAAACAAAGGATAAAGTTATCGTCACAATCTGGGTCGTGTTCTTCCAGGCATTTGTTTACAAGTTCACGAGTGTAGAGTTTAATATTTGTGACAATACGTGCAACGTATTTTGTGTTCAATGGGTCAAAAGGAATGTACTTCAGAAAAGGGAAAATGTTGAGCAGTGATGTTGAGGATAGCGTAGAGGCTAGCGTTTCATTGAGATGTAAGAGTTGGTTGAATGTGGGGTCGGACATCTTGAATTTTTTCCCGAAGATAATTGAACAGATGACGTTAGCGACGCAAGCGTTGGTTAAATTCCTGACATTTGTTGCTCTACCGTTCAGGTGAGATAGCTCCTGCAGGTAAACTTCAACCACATCAGATATTTTGTCCGCAAGTATATTTTTACCCATTCCTAAATATCTCATAATTGTCATCGATGCTGTTCGTATTTCTTTCCATAGCGGTCCGGACGAAAGAGCAATTCCATTTGTTCGTTCAGGAAATTGTGAAGAAAAGAAATCTATGGTTGATCTGTTAGAAAAGTTGTCTCCCTGCTTAACAAGCGCCTCATGGATCAGCTCGTATTTGTTCAACACTACAAACGGTGCTGTCCCCATCTTTAAGCTGAAAGCCCCTCCTAATGTCCGTGCCCATTGTCTGAAGTTTTTTCTTGGATCTTTCTCCATCAAATAGAGATGACCAATCAGAGGCAGGGACAGACCAGGAGAAGGCGGGTAGTTTGGTGGTGCTGGCTTGTGGTTGTACCACCACACCAGAGATATGAGGACAACCACAAGCCACGCCCATGTGGGTAATGTGGAGAGTAGCTCTTCTAGCATAGTTATTATTGAGTTCTGTAACACAAACAAAAAGATTAATTATATTAACAGGAAAGCAAACCATACACCTGTCATAATCTGGATTTAAGAACGCAATGATTTAGTTGTTTATATATATAGACCGACAGACAGACGGACAGACAGACAGACGGACGGACGGACAGACGGACGGACGGACAGACGGACAGACGGACAGACGGACAGACGGACAGACGGACAGACGGACAGACGGACAGACGGACAGACGGACAGACGGACAGACAGACAGACAGACAGACAGACAGACAGACAGACAGACAGACAGACAGACAGACAGACAGACAGACAGACAGACAGACAGACAGACAGACATATATTGTATATTGTATATTATATATATATATATATATATATATATATATATATATATATATATATATATATATATATATATATATATATATATATATATATATATATATATATATATATATATATATATATATATATATCGAAGCCTGGTTCAATTCAGTAGATCGTTCCTGAGTCCACCCATCTCAGGAAAGAAATTGGATTAATATGCCGAGGTCACATAAACAGGCTGAACTCAGTTTTACTGGCGGCTTGCTCCATAGACTATCAGGTTTAAAAACGGAACTTTTACACTTTACTTCGTATTCACACCCCATGCGTATTGTCTCAACGACAAAAACGTTGAGTTTCTCTCCAACAGTGTTGATGAGAATAAGACCCTTCCATTCGTTCTCAAATGAGACTGTCGTAGAGAATTAATAAAAAACTCTTAACTCCGAAGACTCTATATTTTATGGTTAAAAAAAAGAAACGAAACGAGAAATGTAGCTGAAGATTCCAGCCATTTTGTTTTGACGAGAGCTAGTCCAGATCTAGATCTCTAGATCCTCTAGATCTAGATCTACTTGATCAACGATTTACACTGATGTATAACCTACGTAAATCTGCAAGATCTAGATTTAAATTTAGATCTAGAATCTAGAAATCTACATTATTGACTAGAGAGAAAAGTTAAAAGTATGCCTAGTGCCTCGTAAGTAAATGATAGATCTAGATAATAGATATCTAGCTAGATTTCTAGATCTAGATCTAGATCTAGATCTAGATTCTAGAATCTAGATCTAGTAATTTTTCAGTAGCACTAGAGATCTAGATCTAATAGATTCTAGATCTAGAATAGAAAGATAATCATTTCCGTGGCATAGCTGTCCTTTTGGATCTATTCAATTTTAAATCTCTTCTATTTCAAATTGTTTGTAGATCTAGATCTGTATGTACAAGCTTAGGCTTAGGTCTAAAAATTACTAAAGCTACACATTAGGCCTATACATTATTCCTAAACTCAATGGACCATGGCTAAAATTCACTGAGCATTGTTGCACTTGGCGCTTAAGACTTAAACGTAAGGCCTAAATACTAATACTAAATAAAATTATTACGTCTACGTTAGCTTAAGTAAGACCTAGATTCTCTAATTTTCGTGACAGCTTTTTTTTCTTTTTTTGCCCTGCTTTATTTAAGTCACCTTTATGTGCTGGTAGCTTAAAATAAAACTTGTTCAGGAAGTTAATTTCTTTCTCCCTTTCATAATGCTGCAAATATGAGTAAGACGCATATTATTAAAATTAAATAGCTGCGATGAATAATCATTTGCATCTTTTGGGGGGTATTTCTTTTCCATGAACTGTGAAAGCCACAGAATATGGTATCTCAAATTTTGCTTGTAACTCAAAGCGATTACTCACTCAACTGCGCATATTTTAAAAATCTCGTATGTCGAGGCACTAGAATGTTGAGGTACCACAGGATCTACTATGTATTGAAAGAAAACATAAATTAATTATAGAATAATAGGCCTATAATATAGGCCAATATAGTAATAAAGGATAGCTTAGATTTTATTCAGCCTACTAATAAATAATTAAATAGGCCTAAAGTAGTACTAGATATTAGATAAATCACTAGTTCAGACTGAGAATCATGAGCAATGAACAAAAATGTCATGTGTGTATTGTATAGGCTTATTTTTATAAAAAAAAACAGATCATATCTTATACATTAAGGGCTCAATAAAATAAAAATAATTTATTTAGGACCTAGGCCAGTTATGTATTGGAGATCTAAAATTCTAAATGAAAAATAAATTATTAATTAGACCAACAATAGGCAGAGTAGTATGATAGTAGGCTAAATCTATTTTAGTATTTAAATTTAAGGCTCAGCCATCTACTAAAAATATTATAATTGTCATAAGTTAAAACTAGACCAAGCCTATTTTATTAGTAGAAATAGTATTAGCCATTAGAGTTAAGATGTTATAGCCTTATGTAAATTAATGTAATCAGTGTTCGATATTATGATATTGAGAGCATATATTATATAATATCGGATAGGGGCCTGCACTCTCTTAGTCATTAGTCTATTAGGTCTTACAAGTAGTTTAGCTTATTTATATATTATATAGGCCTAGGCTAAGTTATTAAATTAGGCCAAAGGCTTATTAGGAAAAGGCTTAATAGGCTTTAGTTTTTAATTAGGCAACAAGGCAGAGGCTTAATGTTGCGTATAGATTTAATTTTAAATTATGATTATATGCTACTCTGCGGTTATCACTATAGAGTATATTATAGCCTAGGCCTATCTAAATAAAATAATTCAACTCACTTAGCTTACCATAATTTTTAAAAGTGTTTTGTTAAGTATTCAGCTCTCTATGTCAGCTAAGGCCCATAATTGTAATTATCCTACGGTTAGATCTATTAATTATTTAATAATTAGTAGGCCTAATTATAGGAATTAGGTCTGATACATTGCCCTATACATTGGTCGTAGAGTAATACTATTGGGCTAGTAATTATATACAATATCTATACAAGCCTACTTATCGTTAATTTGGAAGTCTTTGCATTGACCTTAGTTTTCAGATGTAGCAGCCTAATAACTTTATATAAAGGTATCTTGAATTTCAACTGGAGGTAGTTCTGATAACTATTAGTATTCTGAACATTAAAATAGGTAGACTTAACATAAATTTGTTCTGAAACATATTTAGAAATTGGTTTTAAAAAATGAGGTTAGGATTGGGGTGATAACTAGTTGAGGATTAGATATGAAATTCATTGTTTTTATCCATGTTGTAATTTCTCTTTTACAGGTTCACCCAAAAAGGGAAGATTTCATTTTTACCAGTAATAAGACTACAGCATACTAAATGACACAAGATGTTTATTCTCTATTACCTCTTACATTTGACATAAAAGCAGGAAAAGGTATGACAATTATTAATAAGCTGCTTTAAATTTTATAATTTGTTTTTTTTATAACTTAATTCTACCACTTTTATTTCCAATGATGATAAATATAATTTAGTGTCATTTATTTTTTAAATATTTATATTATACTTATACTAGATATAATTTACTTCTATAATATTACTATCCAGGTTTAACAGTCTATGCCTACAACATGGATCTCCAGGACTAAAACTGAAAAAATTTGCAATCAGTATATCACAAGTGTTACAATACAATCATCTAATCTGCTTCAGTGGCCAGAACTGGGTGAATCCTCTCAAACTTGAAACAGGTAAGTTATCACAAGTTTACTTTGGTTTATTTTGAACATGACAGTTGATTGAGATAGATTTTTATTTGTATAAATATTGTATTTAAAAAATATTTTACCTAGTAAGACCAAGTCATTTGTGATGATTGATACAATATGTATTTTTATAAATAATTCTATATCTTTTTAAATATTTTTTTTGCAAAATATGCTGATTTGCAAGCAGGATATATATATATATATATATATATATATATATATATATATATATATATATATATATATATATATATATATATATATCTTACATTATCATTTAGTGGTTTGTCTTACAAATTTGAATTATTTACTTAATTTGTCTTAACTGCTCAACAGGAACTAGGCATACCTAATGAGCGTCAAGCTGATACAGTAGATGTACAGAAGAGTTTATACACAAGGTAAATATTGATACATTTTAAGTTTTCCTTTTTTTAGGGATACATGTAGTGTTTTGGGAGAAAGGAATTAAATTATTTAAATTAGGCCAAATAGTTTATTTCTCTAGCTTATGTTTCACTTAAAAGACCTTAAATTTTTACCCCTTTATCACTAAAGCAAAACTTTATAGATATCTATGCCATGATTTATCCCATTCAATCACTTTTTTCTTGTTTTGTTTTTATGTATTAAACTAAAGATTTTTTTTTTGCTAATGTTATTATTTCAGATGGATTTTTAAGAAAATCATTTTGTTTTGTTTCAGGAAGTGAAAAGTGATGTGAAAGGCAACTAATACTTCCATCTACCATAGTTAAACAAGAATCTGCAAATGGCGTTAATTGCAATAATCCTGATATATTCATTTTTGGCTTTATATGCATAAATAAATTATTTAGCAAAATTTGATGTATTTGGTTTTCTTACTGTGTACAAGATGCGAGTGATTGAAAGCTGAAAAGTGTAGTATGTAGTTATAGTATTCCCAGCACAATTTGACATTAAAACAGTTGAAGCCCTTTAAAAAAAAACAAAAAATAAATAAAAATAAAACAATCTAGGAAAGCTGTTTCTATTAGCTGAGCACATATTTGGAAAATAACTTAATTGTTTACCAGAGAATACTGTGACCCAGTTTGTACTCCAGGCAAAAAGTGCCTATGTTTATTATTATTAAGTCAAAGAAAAGTATCAAACAAACAGGATAATATTAATAATAAAGACCTCCACACTAGAGAAGTATGGAATGAGTGTTGCATGGAATCCAAATCAACTTTGATGTTGCTAATTGCTACACTGGCCATAATTGGCCTACATTGACTTTTGCTGAGGTAGGCAACTGTTTTTGTTTAACTTTAGATGTCGACTAAATAAAGAAGAAAACTGACACGCCAATACCAAAATCAAGAACTTGTAAAGTTTGTGGTTGCTAAACCGAGAAGTCCTGAGTTCAAT